ACACATACAATCCAAGAAACCCAAAAAAAAAAAAACCAAACATCAAAAACCAGAAAATCAAACACTCAAAAAAACAGAGCAAAAATCACAAACACCAAATCATGGTTGCGGCAACGTTAACTTCACCGTCGTCTCAACTCCTATGCTCAAGCTCCCGCTCTCTCTCTAACCTCTCTCCTCTCCAACAATGTCTGTTGGGGTCCAAAACAGTCGTCTCATGCCCTAACAACTTCAGTTACAGCAAGAGGAGGCATGCGGCCGACGGAGTTAGGTGCATGGCGGTGGCAGCGGAGACGGAGACCGTGGAGCCAAAGAAGAAGAGCGGATACAAGATTCAGACGCTGACGGGCTGGCTGCTGAAGCAAGAGCAGGCCGGGGTGATTGACGCCGAGCTGACCATTGTGCTGTCGAGCATTTCGTTGGCGTGCAAGCAGATTGCTTCTTTGGTGCAGAGGGCAAGCATTTCCAACTTGACTGGAATTCAGGGTGCGGTTAATATCCAAGGAGAGGACCAGAAGAAACTTGATGTTGTCTCCAATGAGGTTTGTGCTGCTTCGAATTCTTACCTGAACCGAAGATGTGAGTTTGGTCAGTTTATCAGGACCATATGTCCGTACTAACACCCGCGTTCAAATTCTCTCCCGTTTTGTTTGAATCCCTCGCACACATTAGATTGATTTAGAAACAGCATTTGTTAAAAAGAAAGATTTCTTCGCAAAGAACATGCTCAATTAGTCAATTTGTTGATGGTTTGGACCTTTTGGTATTAAATAATGTTGGGAAAATTTTGGGATAAATTAGACAGAGTATTAGGAAAATAAAAATTAAGATAAAATTACAAAAAAGAATTCCGTTGCCGGGACTTGAACCCGGGTCTTTCGGGTGAGAGCCGAATATCCTGACCAACTAGACTACAACGGATTGGCGATTTTGTGTTGCTCACAAAGTATTATCATGGCGCCAACCTTTATAAATAGAGGGTTTGATTATTTAGTACAAACTACAAACAGGTTTTCTCGAACTGCCTGAGATCAAGCGGAAGGACAGGGATTATAGCATCAGAGGAAGAGGATGTGCCGGTGGCGGTGGAAGAGAGTTATTCCGGCAACTACATTGTGGTGTTTGACCCACTTGATGGATCATCCAACATTGATGCTGCTGTCTCCACTGGATCCATCTTTGGAATATACAGCCCAAATGATGAGTGCTTTACAGACATTGAAGAGGACTCAACCGTAAGTCCACTAATGCGACGTTGTTTCATTTGTTCATTAAACTTCGTTGGTTGATATCAGATAAGGAAATGTCAAATGTCATGTCATATGTCACATTAGTTGATAATTAGAGATAAACCTACATACAACGGGAATGTCACTGTAGCTGTATTTCAAGTCAATCATGCACTGTCAATGTATCACGTGTTTCAACTCTAAAACAGTGGTGCATGATTAGCTTGAGATATCATCATGGCATCTCCATTGAACGTAAGTTCTTCTCTGAGGGCAAACGTAAGTAATCCGAATAGGGTTCTTCCGAATTGTCACAGTTGAATGATTGGAATGATTTATATGTTGCATTTCAGCTTGACAGTGCGGAACAGAAATGTGTAGTGAACGTGTGCCAGCCAGGAAGCAACCTACTTGCTGCTGGCTACTGCATGTACTCAAGCTCTGTGATCTTTGTGCTCACAATTGGGACTGGTGTATTTGCATTTTCCTTGGACCCCATGTACGGAGAATTCGTCTTGACTCAAGAAAACATTCAGATTCCAAAAGCCGGAAAAATCTACTCGTTCAATGAAGGGAACTATCAGATGTGGGATGACAAGTTGAAGAAGTACATTGATGATCTTAAGGACCCAGGTCCTAGTGGCAAGCCCTACTCTGCAAGGTACATTGGCAGCTTGGTTGGTGACTTCCACCGGACGCTGCTCTACTGGCGGCATTTATGGTTACCCTAGAGACAAGAAGAGCAAGAATGGGAAGCTGAGGCTGTTGTATGAGTGCGCACCAATGAGCTTTATAGTGGAACAAGCCGGCGGGAAAGGGTCGGATGGCAGTTCCAGAGTACTTGACATTCAACCAACTGAGGTGAGTACAATTCATTTAATAGTTGTGAGTTTCTGCAGTTCACTATGTAAATTGATTAACTAGAATTTCTACTTTTGTTTCTGCAGATCCATCAACGTGTTCCGCTTTACATCGGAAGCGTGGAGGAGGTGGAGAAATTGGAGAAGTACTTAGCATGATCAGAATGTGACAACAAAGAGATTTAATTTTGTTTTGTGAAGATAAAGTTGTATGCGAACTTTTTCACAAGAAGAACAATGAATTAAAGACTTGGGACTTTATATTTTGTTTTTGCTGAAATTTTGAAAGTCAAAAGCAGCCCTTGTAAAATATGAACAATCCTTCGTACTCGAGGAGAGAGACTTACATGAAACAAAACTAAGGACAAGCCATTAGCCTAATTAAGCCCAGGACTACAACCAGGGCATATTTACTACAAAATTACATGTATTTCCAAGGAACTTGAGTTGTCTAATGCTATAGCAACTCTAGTAAAGCTTCTAAAATGGTTTTGAATGGCTAACATAATTAGAAATCTTTCCGAGGAAGTCGTTCCCAAAAACAGTCAGGTCATCGCTGTACAATTCTCCTAAGCCTCAGAGCTTCCACGATTTTTCACTGCAAATTGCGGAAGCGTGCGAATTAGTAATTCTAGACTTTTGAATGAAAACGAGAGGCAAACATAAGAAAAGGATGGTGAAATTACCAGGGCTTATAATCCTAATACATTTCGTCACAGACTTCATCGCAGTCAGAGGATCAGATCCTGCAACAACCGTGAATCACTCATTAGATATTCAAGATGGGTGAACAGGATGGAAACTTTATAGCAATAGAAGTTGTTTCAAATCACCTTGCGCGTTCATGTCCTTCTCTGATAGTACTTCTGTCACAGTTGATGTAAATTCTGACATAAATTGATTGACCCCCACGTTACCATCCGCAGATTCATAAGATGACCTATATGAGTTTTGTAGAAGAGAACGTAAGAAAATTGAAGTGAAATGACAGTAGTGAAGAAAATAATGGAGAAACAGTTGTGATGTAAAAGTATGGAAGGCAGAGAATACCCTGAAACCGTCGCAGTGGAAGCATCAAAGTTTGGTAGACCAAGTTCTTCACAATGAAGATCAAATTCACCTAACAGTTCAGTGAAGGAGAAATCCGCCCCAATGGCATCAAAGTTCGTCAAATCAATGTCGAAAAGATCAACTTCCTTTTCAGATTCAGGTGATGAAGTCTCATCGCCAGTTGGTTTCTCAAAGCTCATTGGCACATCAGAACAATCAAAATTAAGCCTCCCCTTTACATGGGGACTCCCTCTTACTTGTCTTGGCAGGTGAAGAAATGCAATGGTTTGTTTCCACAGTGTAGCAAGCTTTGTTCGGGCTCAGAATCACTCTCTTTGAAGAAAATATGGTGCAAGTTGGGTTTACGTCTGGAGGATAATTGTTATAACTGCAGGTAGCACTGGAAGAAATCTCAAAAGGTGGCGTAGAGTTGTCGCTTTGAATTGAATTTGCTCGCTGAGGTGTCCGAGGACCAGAGTTATTGGTTGGGACAGACAATGATGCCTGGTTGAACAAGCATTTCTCCACAGTGGAGCCATTGGGAACCAAATTGTGAGGTGATGATTGAACATCCAAAGACTGCTGGACAGATTCTTGATTATCAAGCCCATTATCTGATCCAGAAACTGCTCCTCCACCTGCTCATTTTAAAGTTCAAGAAGAATGAACACCCAGTAACGACATAAACAGATTAAGAGCAGCACAACTTTGAAGAACATGCACAGTTATATACCTCTGCTGTGCATATTGCTCTTGCCAGCAGGTAATTTGCAGCGATATCTTTTAGCAGCATTTGAAGCATCCACAGGAACCTTTGAACTCTTTCTCTTTGTTGTAGGTGGGTGGATTGTTATTGGAGAGCAGAAATTTCCAGGCCTCGTGTTGGGGTTGGAAGGTGTGGTCACAGGAGCAACTGGTGTTTGGTGCATTAGAAGACCTAATCGAAAGGCGCAGGAAAAAAAACCATGTTGAGTTCATAGCTTATAGAGCGATTATTCTTTTGGGTTTCTGTTAATTTATCACACCCTCAAAGGGATTCAAATAATTTAAGGCATACAAAACAGAAATCCTAAAAGTTGAAGCATCAAAACTCTCAAAAACTACATGCAGCTTTCACTATATTCTTAATTGTACCTGCAGCGGACCCATTAGACGGGTGAGATGGAGAAGCCAGGAGCATCGGTTTCGGAGCCACAGCCGGAGCTGTAGAGATGGCGGGGCTTCCACTGGCATTGTATGTATTCATCACGCTTTGCATCCCCTTCAACAGGGTTTGGACCCGGGTCTTCTCCTGCTCCACTCGGACCTTCTCCTGATCCAAAATCACCTTCTGCTCCTTCAACCGTATGTACTCGTCCAAAATCTCCGCCAAGCTCAGCAAGCTCTTCGGCGCCTGCCAAATTCAGAAAAACCCAAATCCCAAATCAAACAAAGACAAAAACTTTGTGACCGATTTCGAACAAATCTTCGAGAAAAACAAATTGGGTACCTCTCGAATCGGAGATTTGGCGATGAGAGACGAAGCCTCGGTTCTGAAAACGGAACGGGTTTCTGAATAGTTGTTGTCGCAGAGGTAGCGGTCGACGATGAAGGCGATTTGGACCGGGGTGACTTTTCCCTTCCCCAAATTCTCTGATTTCTTGCCTTTGGATTGCTTCCCCATTTCTGAAGATTGGGAGATGCTGTGGAAAATTAGGAATTGGATGGAAGTGAGGAGGAAGGAGAGGTTGAGAACTTGAGATCTGAGGAAGAGAAAATGGGAGAGGGTTAAAAAGGAGGGAGTTTTAGAGAAACGAGAGGAGGGAGATGGAAGAATAGAAACCGCGGGAGTTTTTGAAATTTTGGGACGAAACTGGGAGAAATGGGGGACCCTAGAAACAGGCCTCTTCGAATCTCAGGTCAAGTGATCCGGATTTTTAAAATTTCATTTAACTGCATATCTGTTTTGATTCTTTAAATGTTATAATAATTTTTAATCGTTTGATGAAATTTCAAAGGTTCGAATCACTTGATCAGGTAAACTTGGTGAAAAATATTTGTTTTCAGATCTCTTCCCCAGCCGGGAACTGCAATTTGTATAAAAATAAAAAATCAATTCAATTCGGCAACTGCAATTTGTGCAAGTATCTAATTCCTAACCCTAATTATAATAAGCAATAGCAATTCACTTAGCCAATATTTGATCAAAATAGGAATTTGGGACAAAAATAGTGTAACTAGACCTAATGCAAAAGTTTTTTTTTAATGGAAATAAAACTTTACTGTTAAAATGATCTTTAACGCATAAATAGAAATTTATGAGTACAGTAATTTTAAAGAATTAACTTCTGCCTCAGATTCACAAAATATCAGAAAGTATATCCACTTTAATCACGTGCTATAATTTATTTTTATTTTTTTGGATAAAAAAACATCAATGTGTTTTCTTTAGTTTAAATGACCTACTTATACATCTTGCTTTAAATAATTAAAATCGAGCTCAATGTCACTTATATTATACACATTTCATGCTAGTTAGAAAATAAAGAACCTTGTATAGCAACTGGAGGAGTCCAACCCAAATTCGTACGTAATTTATAACCAACATAAATGAAGTGTTCACTATTTGCTAGCCAATGTAACACATAAGCATTAGTAATGATCAGGAATTATTGTTTGTTACACTCTAGTTAATTAGGACACTTACACTATGTTTGGATGAGGGAATTAAACTTGGAATTTAGGTAAAAGTTGGAATTTATAAGTTGACATACATCAATTCCCTTGTTTGGATTCATAACCATAGAAATTTAGAATTTCCGCATGGAAAAAAAACTTGGAATTTGGGACCTTCAATTTCCAAGTTTAAATTTCATGTAAATGAGTGTCATTTCTTAATTTCTATGATTGCGAGTTTAAAAATAACAAATTTCACATTCAATTCCATTATTCTTGTAGATTAACCAAACAAGAAAATTCATAAATTCTAGAAAATAAAATTTTGTCATTTCAATTTCCATCATTTTGAAATTCCTTGATAATCTTAAATTTCTTCATCTAAACATAGTATTAGTGCTTCTTTAATCGTGATATTAGTTAACTTATCAATAAGTGATGTTCATTTTTCTTTCTCTCTCTCTCTCTCGATCAAAACCTACAACTCTTTTTTTTTTTTTTTGAATAAACAATATTATCTACATTAAGAGCAACTCCACCCTTAAAAGTCTCCCTAAACTATAAAAATAATGTAATTCAAATTTACATTTGATGAGAACCGAGCCTAAAAGCTCTTATTTATAAGTGCAAAGAAATTTTATTAGACCGTAGTAACGAAAAAAATAAATCTAGTTAATGTCAAGGACTTAAGAATAGAGACCTTCCAAGCCTGCTTCGGTTCATTGGGCTTTTTAGATTAACCGCCGACAACCAAACAAAACATAAAAACGGCCCGAAACTAAATTCTGGGCCATCTAGAAATTCAGTCATAAATCCAAAGGGACGGAGAATCCAGAACTCCCTCCTTTTCCTCTCTGCAACACGCTCAACCGTCAGGATGACACTAGGACTTCTCCCATGGAGTCCTTGCCACCACTCTCTATCTCCCACCTCCCTCTTCTCACTCCCCCTTGCTTCCCATTACCAAACACACCCACTTCCCACCTTCCATCTCCGCCACTCTTGAACCCGCCACCGCCGGCACCCAACACCTTACAGCCAGAGAGAGAAGGCAGCTCAGGAACGAGAGGAGAGAGAGCAAAACTGGCACCAGCTGGAAAGAGGAGGTGGAGGAGAAGCTTTTGGAGAAGCCCACGAAGAAGTTCGCCAATTGGAAGGAAGAGCTCAACCTTAATAACCTCGCTCACGAGGGTCCACAATGGTGGATCATCAAGGTCTCTCGAGTCAAGGGCCAGGAGACCGCTCAGCTCATCGCTCGATTGCTTGCCAGGAACTATCCTCAGATTGATTTTAAGGTACTAGATTACTTCAATTCAATGTTTTGGTTTCTGGGTTTTTTGCAAAATTGAAGAAATGTGATACTATTGTATGTTTGATTTCGTTGATTTGAAGGTATTTACTAGTTCAAGTCAATGTTTTGGCTTCTGGGTATGTGGCAAATTTGATGTAATGGGATAATGATGTCTGCTTGATTCCAGCTGAACATATTGAATTGGTGCCCTGAAGTATTTCTTATTCAATTTAATGTCTAGACCAAAATTAAACATGTAAGTATCTGACTGTTTGCTTTTCAGATATATGCGCCAGCTATACAAGACAGGAAGAAATTGAAAAATGGTAACTTGGTTAAACCGAGACCACTATTCCCAGGGTGTGTGTTTATAAGGTGTGTATTGGACAAAGAGATACATGACTTCATAAGAGAGTGTGATGGAGTTGCAGGCTTTGTCGGTTCCAAGGTCGGAAATACGTGAGTAAATTTCTTCCATAGTAGGTTTGCTGTGTGTTGCGTAATGTTATTGTTATCGTAGTATGAAAAGAGCATGGTTGATTAAGGATATATGAAGAAACTTTTTAGATAGAAATGTCAATTTGTTATTTTCAGAATTAAATCCTGTTTAGAACTGATTGAGCTTGCCTGGTTAAATTGGCGGGATTGTACGACAAAAAGAAGATCCTGGTATTCTTTTAGAAAAGAAGTTCTGAAAGAATGCTTCATTTGGTCAAAACGTCAGATATTATGTATAAAGTTATGAAGTCATGTTATGCCTGCACAATTACCTAATATGAAGCTACTTGTGCGCATATGTGTTAGCTAAGACACACAAGGTAGATTGTGGGTTAAGTTTTCTGGTTTACTGGCATTTTCGGGATTCCCTGGCAGGCATTATTATCACTGTTAATTTCTAATATGGAGGCCATCTAAATGATATATCCTTCTAGACTACTACCTTGTGCGTTTTCCAGTGAAATTTTATACAATGTTATTCGCATGTGCACAGGAAAAGACAGATTACCAGACCCCGGTCAGTTTCTGAGTTTGACATGGAAGCTATCTTCAGGCAGGCTAAGGAAGAACAACAGAAAGCTGAACAAGCTTTTGAGCAAGAGCAGCAAGAAGCAGCCCTCAATGATGCTGACGAATCTGCTGGAGATTCTATTTCTAAACCAAAAAGGCGACCTAGAAAAACACTTGATCCTCTCATAACTGGTTCGTCTAAAGGAAAGAGTGAGAAGCTCATCCCAGGTTCTTCTGTACAAGTTGTATCTGGGACTTTTGCAGAATATGTAGGCAGCCTGAAGAAGCTGAATAAAAGAACAAAAAAGGTTTGTTTTTTCTGGCATGAAATATTCAGTTTAATTAAGTGAAAATGGGTGGAGGTTAAGCATGCATGTCTTCTTTTTGTTTGGGATATATATGATAGAACTATTAGTGTCTTCTTATGGGTTATTTACAACAATATCAATGTCTTCTTTTTGTTTGGGATATTTATGATAGAACTATTAGTGTCTTCTTATGGGTTATTTACAACAATGTCAACACGATAAATGAAAGAATTTCTCTTTTGGAAACTTAACAAAAGGAAGAAAAATGTGTGTCATCTTGCAGGCAACCTTGGGATTTACGTTATTTGGGAAAGAAAGCTTAGTCGATTTAGATATCAGTGAAATTGTTGTAGAGACCGTTGAAAAAAAAGTTGTTTCAGAGACCATGTAAATATGTTCAGTCATCAATCATTTTTAAATGGTAAGCTTTTCAATCTTTTTCCCCTTCTTATATCTTACTTTCATCTATATGAAAATATCTAGCGCCTTCAAAGTATAGTTTGGTTTTCTGTTTGATCTGCCATGAAATGAAGATATAATGCATACTAATCACAAGTTTCCAAAATTCCATACCATTATCGTTTATGTGGTTAGGTCCTCATTGTAAGTTTCTGATGATCCGATGCACCAAGACATGGATATAAAATCATAAATCACATAAACAAGGGAGATTATATGAAGGTCCTCTACCAACCATATTAAATCGTAAATAGCTAATTTGGATTGGCTGCCTTATTTGTGGCCAAAACTACTGTACTCATATTGGTAATGTCTGTCCTTAGGTCTACATAGGTCACATTTTGGCCTCCCTCTAGATGTTTTTCCCATTTGCTGCCAACTTCCTTTTTGAAATTATGGTGAAATTTTGATTGGCGTATTGCATATCAGAGCAGTCTGCTTTTGGTTGTGTTTTGGTACTTTTGGTGTTTAGGTTCTTTCTGGTCACATGGAATTAGGGTTCAGACTTAACCATACTCGTGAAAGTTCAGTCAAGGCCTTTGAAAAATTTGTGATAGGAAAATGTGTCTTCGTGTGCACAGAGATGATGGCGTGAGTAGATTATGAAGGGTTGCTCACCAATTCTACGAAAGGAGTAAATGTAAGTTGCAATATAAACACATGGTAATTGGTAGTGATGATAGGCCTTAGAACAACAGATGAAAATCTCTTTCATTCTTGAACACTTTGTTCTTCCTCACTCTCCATATGCAGTAGATTGTAACTGCATAAGTCATCTTCTGTAGGGTAACAGTAAGGGATATACCCCTCCAAACAAAACCAGCCCAGACACAATGATTGGTACTCAACTAGGGAACTCTGCAATTGCTCAAAGCCTGCCTCCAGATTCCCTTGCTAAATGGACAATCAAAAGAAGCGTGAGTATGAGTCTAGTGCTGCCAGACAGAAAACACAATTAGCGTTAGCCTTGATCTCTACCGCAGCAAGACAGAAAGCGTGCACTATTAGCATAGCTGAAGGAGAAAATATAATGACCCTCTTTAAGGTAGCAAACAGCCTTTAGTAAGTACTGTCCCGTTCTTCTAGACCCTACACTCCAAGGAAAATGCGGTCACCTACCACTCGATTTAATCCAACGGTGGAGGACAAAGTAAAACAACAAAACGTTAAATGAACATTTATTCTTCCCACCCTTGGATTAAGATCGAACCGTATATGTCCACAATTTCCTTGGACCATAAGGTCCGGGAGAACAGGACTATTAGTAGGTAATAGCCAACCATAGAATGGAAGTCATTCTGCCCACGCGGTAGTTTAGTGCAGCGATGCTAACTCCACATTTAGATGTTCAAAGTATAGGTGCCAGATGTGGCAGTTAGCCACCTAAAACATCTGTACTATTAGCCTTAGATCCATGCCAATCCCAAAGACCACCTTGGACTATGCTACTACCACGGCTTCGTGGGGAAGGCTAACTGGTCCAATTTGTTAGGGCTCCATCTAATGAATAAGGGGCCAAGGGGTGTCAAATGTCATGATAAGGAAGCACTGCCATCCTCAATAGTACAACGAAAGAGAGCGAGGGAGCCTCATAGCATTAGAATCTTCAGTTCATGAGCAAATCTGTGTAGATATTGCGGAGTCGGTCCACTAACTCTACTTTCATGCTTAATTATTGTTTACTATCATTCTCCTTTAGAAAACTAAGTATATTATCATCTTGGGGTCCTCCTTAGTCATTATCTTAATGAGCTGCTAATTATTTAATGGGCAAGAAAGCAATTGAATCTGCCTGCCCCAGATGGTGCTCCCTTGCATATTCTATCTGTGAAAAACTTTAAAGCACAAAGCAATTGAATCCGCCAGAACATACATGAAAGTGGTGTCTTACTGGACAGAAAAAGTCATGTTATCTTTTGCACTTGAGCGTTTTATGATTATACACGTCCAATGTGCACATTCGTTACGTTTATATTGTTTTTCTGAATGTTTTCCTTAAGTTGTTTATCCAATTCTTAGTTTGGATCAAGAAATTATGTTGCGTTTACTCGAGTTTTGTAATGTTCTTGCTTGCATTTGTCAAAACCCGGCACCTTCCATGTGTTTGGAAATAGCAGACTGATTTTGGCCAAGCATACAGATGATGGATTCATGGAGACTGCTTAGTTTATGGTGGGGGTTTTGAGGTTTGTTACGTGTTGAGAAAGGGACAATGGAAGGGGGACCAAAGAAGTTGAATCTCAATACTCATAAAAGTGAAATCTGTGAACTGTGTTCATACTTTAATGCTTGTATTCATACTTGTTACATGTGGTTCTAAATTTGTTATGAATACACGATATAGATAAGACGTTCTAACGACTCTTTCTAACATACAACAATGTATGGACTGGGACGTCAGGATGACGGTAATTTGGTAACTGGCAATTCCTCACGGTAGTATTGACTAACTAATATCACGGATTATAACTATTGGCATTATAATTTAAACAAAGCATATCAAGCGTTTCGCTCACTCGTATTTGAACTTGCGAATTTGTGACGGAGCTACTTTAGCATCGAAGAATATTTCGATTTTCGAGCTGTAAAACTTAGAGGCGAAGACAATGGTCCATGTCCACGTGGTGATTGCACCCAACCGATGACTTACACGTATGCTTTTACGGTAGAAAGAAAAGTAATTAAAGAAGAAACAAAACAAAGAAGGTTCGTTGTTAAACAAACAATTTGTTCCACTTTTACGGTGAGGCAGTGAGATAACATGCAGATTAGATTAGATTAGATTAAGATTAAGATTAGATTAAAGATTATATAATTAAATAAGTGAGTGAAGGAAACTCCATCCTGTTTTTGTTTAGTCCAAGAACAGTAGACGACACAAAAGCACGCGCACAATAGTTTTTTACCGAAAAGAGCTTGCTAAAGTAAGCACCATGCACACCACCCTATCTCTCTCTCTCTCACGCAGGTTTGAGTTTTATCAAACACTTGCTGCGGTTTATGGATGGTCCCCTATCCAAAAGCCAAATGGACAAAACTGAAAAGAGAGAGGAAGTAGTGGGAGAGAAATATTAAAAATTGTAATACAGCTGTCCCTTCCTTTTAAAATACTAACATCTTTCTATTGGTAGCAAAGCTGAGCTCCTACCAGTTGTATACAATCAGTAACACATAAGAATTTCGCTTGTATTGAAGGTCTTTCACCGGCTTCATCTAGAAAACTAAATATACCTTGCTATTTCTTTTATAGAGTGGGGTGAAGAGTTTTATTTCTTTTATATACAAACGATGTTGAGGGATAGAGTAATCGAACTCTAAAACTTGAGTGTAGGATGAATGTTCTTAACGAACTGAATTAGTTTATGGTTGAACTTTTGTATAATTGAAGTCATTGTACCTCATGATTCACTAATGTTGTTTTGCCATCTTTATGGAGATAAACGAGTACTTATTTGCTGTTGTTTTTGTGTAAACTCAACCTAATTAGTAGTCTAAATTTACCTTATAATGTTATAAGATGCTTATATTGTCGGATAATCAAGCAAAAAGAAAAAACACTTCCATTTCATTTCCGTATGCTCAAGAATCTTAAAAAGATAAAGTAATTTTATAAAGTTTATCACCATCAATAGAAGTATAAAAATCATGGCTAATTCTGAAAATACACACAAAAAAAGAGGTGGAAGTGCAAATTGAAGAAAAGTACAAGCACACAAGTGCAAAAAAAACTTTATTATATTCCGTCAGTCAGCAACCACTCAGAGAAAGTGCGTCAGAGAGTTTGCAGAAAAGAGTAAACGTAATAAATTTTCACAACCTCCAACCCAACCGCCTCCATATTCTTTACCCACCTCCTCTGCTTTCTTCCACTTCCAAACCCTGAAAAAACCAAAGAAATTCACCTTTAATTGCAAATGGGCATCTTCCCCGAGCCCTAAAAACCCCACTGCTCAATCCCCAACCAGATTCAGCTCCAACCCGCTTCCTCCATGGCCGCATCTTCCATCTCCACCCACTTTGTCGCCGTAGCTTTCCTCGTTTTCTTCCTCAGAACCACCTCCTGCCGCCTGTAACTCCTCCTTTTCGGTCACCCATTTCGGTGAAGTTTCAAACTTCGGGTCAGATATTGCTCTGTACGGAGATGCAGAGGTCGTCAATGGCGGATACGCAGTTCAGCTCACCAGTTCGGTGAGCTCGAGCGCCGGCCGAGCTATTTACAAGAGACCCATCGAGCTGTTTGAAGGTAAGCCTCGGAAATCCGTGTCTTTTTCGACGAACTTCTCGTTTTCTATTTCCAACGGCGGTGGGGATGGATTGGCGTTTGTAGTGGTTCCAAAGGATTTTAATTTTAGCCTATTTGGTAACGGCTCTTTTGGGCTTTCTCTGGGAAATGTTAAAAGTAAATTCAAAATTGCTGCTGTCAAATTTGATGCATTGAGTGATGGAAATGTTCATGTTGGAATTGATGTGGGTAGTACTGTTTCTGTTAAAGTAAGCAATGTTTCTGCTAAGAATTTGGATCCAAGTAATGGGAATAAAACGCAGGCTTGGATCGATTACGAAGTGGGTTCGAATCAATTTGAAGTTAGGCTGAGTAAATTCGGTGGTTCGAAGCCGGTTGATCCTCTGCTGTGGTATCCGATTGATTTGTCGAAAATGTGGGGAGATAAGGAAGTGCTTGTGGGATTGAGTGCAATGAGTAGGAATTCGTCTCAGACATGTTCTGTATACTCTTGGAGCTTTGAGCAAAGGCATGTGCCTCACTGGACGCACTCGCAGCCGGTAGATCCTAAGGCCGCTGCGAAGAACTCGAAGGCGGAGGAAAAGAAAAGGGATTGTACAAAAAAGGCTTTCGGTGCAATGGTTTTCGGTGTTGCTTGTGGAGCATTGGCGTCATTTGTCGGACTGTATCTGTGGACCGTCTTTGGTAACAGGCGTCCGGTGGTGCCGGAGGAGTATGCTGAGAAGCAGAAAGAGTTTGAGTACGAGAAAATGAGAGCAGTTGCAGATAATAAAACCATGGAAGATGGAAAGCAGTAGATGCTTGAATGTTGAAGGCTGTTGTTTGTTGTGTTGTAAATCAATCTTGTTTTCTTACCTAGTATTTTCAGGTTGTCCTTTACTTGTACTAGTTGTAGTTAAATGTTGCAGTCAATTGTCAAAATTTAGTAAGTTTTGTTACGTATTTTGTCCAATGCTGGAGCACTGGGATTGCACCTTTGAAGGCTCCTTCGATGGCTGCTACCTTTCTCTTTGAATGCCGACCCTCTACATTTAGCATCGCTGTTCCCCCTTTATTGTTTAGTTGTTATTTTTTGTGGGTACTTGCATCCCTCCATGAGGGGAATGCACATACTCTACCATTTACGAATGACGTATTTTTGCCCTGTAATCTTCAAAATAGGAGCCGTTCAATTTTTTGATCTTCATTTGTAGATCATCCCACAAAAAAATTATTCAAATATTGTTTTGTTATCTAATGTATCAGATAAATCAACGGTTCGTGTAATATGTAAGGTGGCACACACATTGTCGATTTGTTCCACACATTTGGGTGCATAAATGATTTTCAATTTGAAGGATTTTTGTAAAAATGATCTTTAATTGAAGATAAGAAATTGAACAGTTTTAATTATGAAATTTTTATAACGAAAATACGTAAATTGTGGAATATGTTCATATCCTTAAGAGGGATGCAAGTATTATTCTCGTCCATGTCTCAATTGCAGGTCTTTCTAGTTAGAGATACCGCCTTCTTCGTGTCAAGTATTTTACTTTGGGTAATGTTAGGAATACCAAATTTTTAAATCAAATTTTGTAAACCAAATAATGTGGTTATTGATTATTGGATTATCATTAAGTGTTGATTAACGTGTTTATATTCTATTGATGACACATCATCTGGATTGCAAACTTGGTTTAAAAATTGTTCTTCCTAAACGATGAACCATTTTTACCGGAAATAATTCCCCTGCTCTCCTTTGTGGTAACTGGTAGATGAGGGCCAGCAACTGCAAGTTAATAAAGGTTATGTCACCAGATGAGATCCAAATTAAAGGTTTGATTTCTAAGCAATGGCATACTTAATCCTCGGTTTAGGTCTTAAACCCGTAAATCATACATATCACATGAACAAGAAATGCGGAATCTTTTCTCTCTCCTCACGTGACAAGATAGAGTTGTATACAACATAGTTCAACAAAACCTCCCCGGTGATCTATACATAACATTGATTTTTCGAAAGATGGCATTGACTCCAAAGATTCGACAACTGATCCTCTTGACGGAATAACAAGACGCAGTAAATTTCTTAGATTCATACAAGAAATTACGCTTCTACTTAAAAAGGGTAATACCACCATATAGAAAATCTCAGCTTACTCAAGTACATATAACAAAAAGAAATTAAACTGAGATAACAAGTTTTGTTTTTCACGATATTAAAACCTACAACTACAACGAACAGCCTATCACTTTGTCATACTCCAGCAACTGGGAGTTGCGGCATTTCAAACCACCTTACATCTCCTCCTGAGCTTCCTCCTCTTCGTCCTCATAGTACTCATCCTCCTCGGCTGTGGCATCCTGGTACTGCTGATACTCTGAAACCAGATCATTCATGTTGCTTTCAGCTTCTGTGAACTCCATCTCATCCATGCCTTCACCAGTGTACCAATGCAAGAAAGCCTTCCTCCTGAACATAGCAGTGAACTGCTCGCTCACACGGCGGAACATCTCCTGAATTGAGGTTGAGTTTCCAATGAAGGTGGACGCCATTTTCAAGCCGGTGGGTGGGATATCACATACAGTAGACTTGACATTGTTGGGAATCCATTCCACAAAGTAAGAAGAGTTCTTGTTCTGGACATTGATCATCTGTTCATCAACTTCCTTTGTGCTCATTTTACCCCTGAACATGGCTGAGGCAGTCAAATACCGACCATGGCGAGGGTCAGCTGCACACATCATGTTCTTCGCATCCCACATTTGCTGTGTGAGCTCAGGCACAGTGAGAGCTCTGTACTGCTGTGAACCGCGTGAGGTCAAAGGAGCAAAACCCACCATGAAGAAGTGGAGACGAGGGAAGGGGATGAGATTGACAGCAAGCTTTCGGAGGTCAGAGTTCAACTGACCAGGGAACCTCAAACAGCATGTGACACCAGACATAGTTGCAGAAATCAAATGGTTCAAATCTCCAACTGCATAAACATTACAATCAGTATACTGTATCCGAAAACAAATAAAATCAAAGTATGAAGTACAATCAACTGAGGAAAACTTACAGCTGGGGGTGCTGAGCTTGAGTGTGCGGAAGCAAATGTCATACAGAGCTTCATTATCAAGAACCATACACTCGTCTGCGTTTTCAACAAGCTGGTGCACAGACAAGGTTGCGTTGTAAGGCTCAACAACTGTGTCTGAGACCTTTGGAGAGGGGAAAACCGAGAAAGTGAGCATCATCCGGTCTGGGTATTCCTCTCTGATCTTTGAAATCAAGAGAGTACCCATGCCAGACCCAGTACCTCCTCCCAGAGAATGACACACCTGAAACCCTGCAATCCAAAACAAAACCAACCTAAATTCAATGGACCTATAAACAAAACAAATGAAAAATAAAAAGAAGCCCCAGACAAAATTTATCAAATACATTTGCAGGCGTTAAAAAATAACACAAATGAAAGAATAAGTCATTGAGGAAATTTATCAAACACTTTCAAGGCAATCACAACACTCCATGGACACATAAAATCAAGACAAACTCAATGATATCAAGTCGCTCAGGAAATTATCAAACGCCTTGCAGGCAATCACAATTCTCTATAGACACATAAAACAATACCAACGAAATGGTAACAGATCACACAGGAAATTTATCAAACGCCTTGCAGGCAATCACAATTATACATGGACACATCTTATAGAACAAAAGAAATAATATCAGGGCAACAGGAAAATCATCAAACACCTTGCAGGTAATCATAATTCTACATGAACACGTAAAACAAAACTAAATAAATAAATAAAAGAAGGAATTAATCAAATACCTTGTAGGCAATCACAATTCTCGGCCTCCTTGCGAACCACATCAAGAACCGAATCGATCAACTCAGCGCCTTCGGTATAGTGACCCTTGGCCCAGTTGTTTCCGGCACCAGACTGGCCGAAAACGAAGTTGTCAGGCCGGAAAATCTGACCGTAGGGTCCAGATCGGACGCTGTCCATGGTCCCAGGCTCGAGGTCCATGAGCACAGCCCTCGGCACGTACCTCCCGCAACTGGCTTCGTTGTAGTAGACATTGATCCTTTCAAGCTGGAGCTCCGAGTCTCCCTCGTACCTTCCGGTGCCGTCGATGCCGTGCTCGGCGCAGACCACCTCCCAGAACTTGGCGCCAATCTGGTTGCCGCACTGGCCTCCCTGGATGTGAAGGATCTCACGCATTTTTGGTTGAAAGGGGGGTGAAAAATCAGAAAGGGTTGGGGTTTGTGGGTCTTTCAGTGAGAAAATCGCAGAGAGAGATGGATTGAGACAGAAGGGTGGGGACGGAGAGAGAGGATTTTATAAGAAAGGTAGGCTTTTTGGGTCGCAACGGTTGGATTTGAATGGAGAAGCGGGAGTTTTTGTTTGAATGGGTTGGATATGAGTTGTGGGGATTGGAAATGGACGGTTCAGATTTTATTTGGAGGACCTCGGTTTGAAATTTGAAATTCAAATTTCAAAAACTAGCTGGGTGTCAGTAAATTTTGGCTCCGTTTTTATAATTTGGGAACAGAGTTTCCTTAAGAATTAAAATAAAATATAAAATATAATTTGGAATACTCATACAATTTTAAAAGGATTTACGACCACTTCTTGAAACTCAAATTCAATCTTAATTTGTCCTTTAAGGATGCGTTTGTTGTACCGGACTATCTCGAACTGAACTAATTTCTGGCACTAAGCTAGTTTGGTTTGTCGAGATATATTGGTCGTCATATGATAGTGACGTAGCCAAGTGTGCAACAGAAGTGATACTAATAAAAGAAATGTGAATAATTAAAAACCAAAACTAAACTTATTTAACTAGAGATATTATTTTAAGTGTGTGAAAGTGATCAAATATAAGATACACGCATATCAGAGCATAAGTAAAACAAAAATGCTATCGAACTAAGTACTAATTATACAAACAGGGAGAAGATCCCCACTTTTATTTATGGAAACGTCAGAACCGCCGTGTAGTCCTCATGAGCCACCAAAGACGAGCAACTACCTATAACCTGGAGGGGCGCAAAATAGAAAAGTGAGTGGGTAAAAACAAAGCTTTAGAAAAACACATTTACTTTTATGAACATAATAACCCCTCTCCGTGAAACCCGTATAATTTCCAGGAAATAGTAATACACACATATATAAAAACTATGTTTAAGAGCAGTGAAAACAGAATTATGCCATGTCATAACGTTCAGCACTAAAATATGTAAGCCATGTGAAACGTCGATATAAGTTAGCATGCCAGCTGGAGTCACCTAACATGACCTGTACGACTGGACCTATAGCTCATCAACATATGTCTGCACACGAGTCGGAGTCACCTAATGTGACCTGTATGACAGGTTGGGTGTAAATAAGTACGCTCAAGTGCTACGATCACGTGAAAGCTGTGCGATAGATTGCGGGTCACCTATGAGTCAGAACCACCTATTGTGGTTTGTACGACAAGCTAGCACCAAAACTTGGATCCAAGGTGAGCGTGCGGTGTGGGAGGTGAATAATCACATGAAAGCTGTGCCTTGGCCTCTGGCTGGAGCACTAGCACCGAGGTGCAACATAATAAGCTCTAAATGCATAGCAATATGCAATGCAACAAGACCAATCACATGCTAACTCACCTGAAGCTTACCTGAGCCTCCGCAACATCAAATAGTACGCATTTTAATATTCTCATATAATTATGTATTATTGGGCTAGACTTGCTATATCAAAGTGTTGCAAGAAAGTTTTATATCAAAGTCAATCATACATTGACATGCATTTGAATTTTTTCTCACATAGTTGTGCATTATTAATTAAGAAACTAGGTAACGTCAAATAATATTTCGTTGAAGGAAAGTTCTTTACCTATTTATGTTACAAGTTTAGATTCAATGCCAAATTGTGTAATAATTAAGAATTAGGGGGCATTTGTTTGACATCATTAGCATTCACTGGACAGAACTGGACTAACAGTCTGTGTAGTCTTGTGTTTGGCATAGCAAAGGACTAACTTAAATGACGCTAGGTCGGACTCGCTCGACTCTGAACTTCACTAAGCGTCGTTAGCTAGTCCTGATTGAAACCTTGGTATTAGCTAGGACTATGTCATTGCCTCTTGTCTTGCCAGAACCCCTCAACCGACCACCGCAAGCTTGCATTGCAAGGGAGTGCAGAACCACCCAGAACCCCCTAAAATCTTAGAATCAGAACCACCCAGACGGGAAAATTCGCCATGGTCACCGACAGAATTGGGTGAGAGAAGGATTTGGCCGAATGGATTTATGTAGGAAAACAAAGGAAAGAGAGAGAGGTTGTTGAACAGGAAAACTCGCCATTGCCGTCGACGGAATTGGGAGGAGCAGTCATTGGGGTTTTTCGTGGGAATTGGAAATTTGGGGAAAAAAAAATTAGGAATTGAGATTTGAAAGTGAGGCATGTCTCCATTTTGTGATTGTCAATTTGTGCACTTTGACTAACATAGGGGTAATACAGATGGAGAAACAGAGGAGGAGGGAATACAAAGTTCTAGAATGAAAAGAAAAGAAAAAAAACGAAAAGGAAAAACAAACGGAGAAACAGATAGAGAGTCCTAGCAAACAAAAATAATAAGAAAAAGAAAACCAACAAAGAGTTCCAGGAAATAGAAAGAAAAAGAATGAGAAAAAAACAAAAAGAATTTTTTTTTAATTTTTATTTCTCTCCTTTTTAGTCCGACATTGTACCAAACACTTCACTAAGTCAGTCCAGCTTAGTCTCTAAAGCTAGTTCAGTCCGAGATAGTTCGGTGCAACAAACGCAAATACCTTCAAATAATTTAATTTTATGAACAAACATTTTTTTTCTCACATGAAATACATTTTAACAAGAATTGGGTACCAATTCATGCCACATCAACCTTTTAACGCACTTGTTGACAGACTTTGACATCACGAGATAATGTGAGACAATTTGAGTTTTAGGTTGCGTTTGTTTGGTCTCGTTAAGTTTCACTGGACTGAACTAGACTTATTAATGTAGTCTTATGTTTGTTAAGTGGCTGGACTAAGTTTAAGTAGGATTAAAGGGCACTCGTGTGGACTAGCCCCCTCACTAAAAGGTCTTAGTGAGACCCTCCAATAACCACAGTACTAGCAAGGCTTTCGTTTTGCTTTGTCTACTCATACCACCAGACCACCGCCACTCTCTCCCTTTTCTCCTTGCTCCAAACCCATAATCATGAACCACCTCAAATTCAAACCTCAATCGGAGGACCCACGAGTTCCGTTTTAAATCAAATGACCCACAAACTCCGCACGTCATCTGATCCCCCTCTCTCCATCCTTCAATTCATCTCTGAGGAATCAATTTGAGTGTAGGGTAGCTCACGGGGTTGCGTCTGTAAAGGCTAAATAGGAAGAGGGAAATGGTGTTAGATATTTTTTATTTTGGCACCAGTTTCAGATACCCAATTACCAAATGAGTACTCCACAGAATCCTCCACCAAAGGCTAGTAAATTTCAAGTTTCATTCAATTTGAGATTATTATTTGATTTGGGTTTTTCACAAAAGGCGGTTTGAGGATGGGGCGTTTGCAATTTTGTCAGTGAGGATGAGCAAGGAGATATGCAGGTGTTGAGAAGTGGATTAGATGGCCAAGTTGATTTTTTTCTTAGAGCAATTCTGGACTGCGAAGAAGAGAAAGCAAATAAAAAAAAGGAAAGGAAAGGTAGAGAGATAGCGGGAAGAGAGAGAGAGTCAAATAAAAAAGGTGGTTTTATTACAAATGGTCCCTGAAATTGAAAATCAATTAATGTAGTCCCTGAAAATAGGTGTTGCAAATCAATGTGTTCTTTCCGTCACAATTCTGTTAAAATTTTTGTTAAGTGCTGATATGGCACATAAATAGACCCCATAAGTTCTCTTTTCTCACAAATGGTCATTGAAATTGACTCACGACATCAAAACGGTCCCTGAAATTGACTCGTGACATCAAAATGGTCCCTAAAATTGAAAATCGATCAATGTAGTCCAGCAAGTAAGTGTCTCAATTCAATGTAGTCCTTCTGTCACAATTCTGTCAAAAATTATGTTATGTGCTGATGTGACACATAAATGGGTCACACAAGTCTAATTAAATTTAAAAAAAAAAATTACAAACAGGCTTAATAATTTAATAGTTAATAAAAAAATTGTCAAAACCCAAAAACACAGTCCTGTAATCACCTCCAATCACAATCCAAATTTCTCTACCTCATTCGCTCTTTATTCTCTAAACAAAATCTTAATACACACATCTTTACACACTTCGACACCTTTCACCGAATTGAACCTAGATCGAGATCACCTTTGGTGACGGCTTGGCCCATTGGCAACGACTACTGGGACATCACCATTAACATTTAGGTGATCAACGTTCTCACAACCTTAATCTTGGAGAGCTTGTTCGGCGCTTCCCTGGTGGTCTGGTGATGCAAAGAACAACGAGATCTACCTTGAGATAATGAGGTTATAACCGAGGTGCGTCTATTATTGGTTGAAAACAATTTCCACACCTCTTTTTAGACCTTGGTTAAGCCTTGAGCCTTTGAGAATTTATGGAAAATATCTCTCTTCAGAGTAGGCCCTACTATAAGAAGAAAAAAATCATTGTGCAACAAGGTATTTAGACAATTTTTTTAATTAATTATTAAACCCACATCAGCACATAACAATTTTGTTTACAGAATTGTGGTAGAATGATCATATTGATTTGCGACACCTATTTTCAAGGACTACATTGATTGATTTTCATTTTCAGGGACCATATTGATGGTGTGGGTCAATTTCAAGGACCATTTGTGATAAAAACCCTAAAAAAAATTGTAGGTTAATAAAAACAAATATTAGTAAAGGATATTTGGCCAAAGGTCAACAAAATCTTCACTATTAGCCATATATCAATGGCCAATTTTATTTTTGGACATAATCAATGAATTATTTATAATAATTATGCATAGGTCAATGAAACATTTCACATGAGTTTAAGCTAGTTATAAAATAACTATTATACCTTTATCTCTTCACTTTATTTCATTCCTCATCTCCTCCACTCTCCCGTCCCTTCTTTCTCTTCACTCTCTCATTTTTATTGCAATTCTAAATTAATTATAATATATTGCCCTTGTTGGCTTAGCGACGTGGATGTACATATGCAATTCTAAATTAATTTCCTCGCTATCGTAATTAGATTATACTAGACGTCACGAGCGCGTTGAAGCGAGTTAGGGCCGAATCGGAGTCATAAAAAGGAAGTTATGAACGTATAGAGTGTAAACATACCAAAATAAGAAACCAATCACCATAATTCCTATTTCCTTGGACCCAATTAGGTATTTGGGCTATTATCTCATCTGGACCAATCAAAATTAGTCCACTTTCTCCCTCTTTTATGGTAGCCCATTTAGGGCTTAAAATTTTCTTCTTTTGCCCAGTTTTTTTTTAAACGAAGTTTATTTTCTTTTCATGAAGAGGGTGTTATTTAGACTCTCTCACAAACAATGTCAACAATTAGGGCAACTCCACCCCTACAAATTGTCCCACCTATTGGGTGATTGAATCCGCTAACCCCTCCAAAATTTGCTCCAGCTCAAGCCAATTGCCATACCTATAGGGTGGGCCCAAGCAATCGGGTGAAAATGGCTTTAGGCGATCTGACGTCAGCCACGTTGTAATTTTTTTTGGGTCAGACGTGTGACCTTTACGCTCGAGTGGGAAGAATGAGCAACCAAAAGGTGTCGGTTAGGACCCACGCTCAAGCACACTCAGTTCTTTTCAAACGTGGGCCATTGAATTTCTTAAATCCGTTTAATGAAGGGACGATGGTAACATTAAGAGCTCAAGACTTTAAGAGTTCACCAAGACTGTCTCCAACCGAAGGGTTCAGAGGGTCAAAGAGTCGAAAATAGCTCAAAAACCATCTCCAACAGAGTGCCAGGCAAAGGGCTTGTGGGCTCCAATGGACAAAAAAAGGCTAAAGGGTCAACCGACATGCCATCTTCAACCAGCCGTTGGCTATCCCACTTTGTCTTTTCTTCTTTTTTTTTTTTTTTTTTTTTTTTTTTTTGGTTCTTTTCCATTTGACTAGCCCACACCAGGGTTTAGGATTTTTTTTTTATTTTTATCCTGGCCTACTTTTTTCTTTTCTTTTTTTTTTTTTAGAAAAAATTCTAAGTTTTTCCTACACCATTTCTCACACATTTTTCACCATTTCATATTATTTTATTTCAATTCTTCACATTCCATACTATAGCCCTTTGATACTCGGTTGAAGACGATTTTTTATGACAGGTCTAAAATGAGCCCTATGACCTTTTGATCCTCAACTGGAGATGATAAGAAATATAATTTTACACTATTTCTTAAAATAATAATTTCTTGAAGAAAGCCCTCTGACCCTCCTTGGATTAGAGATGGTTTAAGGCCTATGTAAACAGCTTGAGTGCCCCTAGTAAGTGATCAGACCTGGAGAGTGAAATTACACCACTTTGTTAGGGAGTGGTAATCCATATTATATATATAAAGTCTTTAAGAATAGGAATTCTATTTTTTTTTTTTTTTTTATAAAAATGGGAACTAATTATAAAATTCACTCCATATCAAACTTTAATGATCCGAACCATCTATTTTTTAAATTGCACCTCATAGATCATCCTTGCAAAATTTTAACCAAATTAGAAATGTTTAAGACATCTAATTGAATTCAAAGAAATTAACGAATACTTTTAATATATAATAAAAAATAAAATTTTATCTTGATAATTAAATAAGTAAATATGTTCGGATTTCATAATCTCAAACCCATTACGAGTGGACCATACTGTTCTTTGATGATCTTTCAATTTTAAGCGTTAACAAGACTCTTTGTTAACCAAAATTTCTTAAAACTATGATAATAACCCTTCAACACACAAGTTCACTTCAATATAAACAGCTTATGACCGTGGGTAAATATGCCCAATGGAGGAAGGGAAACGACATAAGCTACAAACAAAAATAAATTTAGAAAACCGAAGAAAACCCACTTCTCCCCCAAACTCTTTGCTAATTCGTAAGGGATGAATTGAATTGCAGAGAAATTGAAATTTGATTTGAAGCTATTTATTAAAATTTTCTGAAATCGGAGTAAAAATAGTAGATGCCCAATTCATGCTATAAGAATAGTAAATGCCCAATTCATTTTGATTCAAAAAAATTCAGCACATGCTTCAGAAAAATTGCAAGACAAATGAAGGATGAACCAATCTCTAAATTTGAGTAAAATATTCATACAGATTTGAATCTCCTTCTTTTCCCTTGATTTAATTAGGTTTTTGGGTCGGCTGGGATGGGGTTTGCCTGCAAATTAAGCCAAAGATATTCGTACTATCAGATCAGAGGAGTAAAAGGGTGAAAATAAGATCTCAGTAACTTGAAATTATCTTCAAATCCCTCGAGGTCGAGAGAAGTTGCAGAAAGATAACGCAGATTTTAGTAACATCATTGATCCACAAACAGCACAAAAATATATAATTAAAATAAAAACAAATTGAAAAGAAAAAGCATCTCAGATTAAAATTCCCCATACTTTCTTCACAGGCAATCATAGTGCAAGGATAACGTTTCTAAGAAATCATCACCGATGCTCCTTTCCAATATATTTCAATATTATCAAAGAATTAAAAAGGGAAAGAAAAAAAAAGGAGGAGAAATTGTGTACCCAAAACAAATAAAATTTTGCTAAATAATTGACATGAAAATGTTAAAAATAATTATCGGAAAAGATTAAATAGAAACACAAAATTTAATCAAGCTTCGATTGAAGAAGATGAAGGAAAAAAAAAATAAAATAAAATAAAAGGAAGGATCGTTGGCGGTTTTGAGAAGACGAGAGAGAGAGAGAGAGAGAGAAAGAGAGAGGGATTTGGGATAACATTTATAGGGGTGTGATTGGACTTAACCCTAGCAATCGTCCCTGGGCCAGGGCAGTTGTCCTATCCTGGGCCTAGCCCACCTCTAACAATAGCATGTTCTCCACAACCATCCGTCGGATTGAATGAATTTAAGAAGATCAATAACCAAAACCAAAAGTGTGTCGTAAATTAAAACGGATGTGTAAATAACATATTTCAAAGCAAATCTCAAACATTTCTACCTTGCAATTTGCTCTTAACCTTAACTTAATTGTTGTAATAGTGACTGAACTAAAAGTTCGTGACCATCGATCATTTATCTCAGCAAAACATGCAACTGTGGTCCTTTTTGTCAACTCTGTTAGCATTTTCATCAAAATGAGTCAATGTGATATGCACGTAAGGCTAAATGAACAGGCAATTTTGAAAAACCAAATGAGTAAAATTGTAGCAATGGTATTTTAACACAATAGGAGAAATAATCCATCAATTTTAACCTAATTGGAGTAATTATCCTCAAATTTATTCCATGTGGCAATGGTACATTTTTTTTTTTTTTAATTTTAACAATGATACTTCCAACATGATTCATTTTGACAGAATTAACGAAAATGACTATAATTGTACGTGTTAATGAGTTAAGAAACCAATTAGTAGGGACCATCTTTCTAATAGAACTAAAATCGAGGGATGTTTTTGTTCTTCAGTACTACGGTCTGGTAATATTTCTCTTCACTTGCAAGTGAGAGATCTTAGGTTCAAATTTTGTGGATGATGAATTTGATACCAAATTAGATTGTTCATTGTGTGGGTTAGCCAAACTCTCTCCTTCTCCTAGTGTAAAATATATTGTTGTACTCGAAACAAAAAATTGAGAGATGTTTCTATAATGAGGTTTTTTGAAATGGGTCCAAAGTAACTAAAAATTGGACATATTTCAAAAATCAAAAGTCACTAAAAATTAAACCTATTTCAAAAAATAATCTATAAAATTAGACCTATTTCAAATTTATCATTCTTTATAATTTTCTCAAGCAACCATAGACCATGTTCCGTTTAAGTAGTGGACAGATTTGACACACAAAAAAAAAGTGGACAGAATGTATCCACATGTTCATCAGTAAAACCAGGCACTCGTTCAAGACTGCAGAGTGTACATTTCCAACCTTCTCCCCAACCCCAAGCAATATTTATCAAAAAAATTGGAAAAAGGAAAAGAAAATCCTCCTCCCCAAGCAAAAGATAAGAGATATATGCAACAAAGCAGAGCAAAACCCACAACTCCCAAATTCACCATTTTTATAGGCCACTTCCAAGGATCAGATCCGAGTAAAGAAACCCAGAGACCACCGACTCCAATTCCTCAAAAAAATATGGGCATGGTTTTTGGGAAGATAAGCGTGGAAACCCCAAAATACAAAGTCCTCCACTCCACCGCTCTCTACGAAATCCGGCAATACGCGCCGTCTGTAGTAGCCCAGTTCACCTACGATCCTTCCGACCTCAAGGGCGACAAAGATGGCGGATTTACTGTCCTCGCCAACTACATCGGCGCATTGGGAAATCCTCAGAACACCAAACCCGAGAAAATCGCCATGACGGCTCCGGTCATAACCAAAACCCAAAACCCGGAAAGCGAAAAGATCGCCATGACGGCTCCGGTGGTGACGAGGGAGGAGAAGGGGAAGAGGATGGTGACGATGGAGTTTTTGCTGCCGGCGAAGTATGGGAAGGCGGAGGATGCGCCGAAGCCGGTGGATGAGAGGGTGGTGATTAGGGAGGAGGGGGAGAGGAAGTATGGGGTGGTGGGATTTGCGGGGGTGGCGACGGAGGAGGTGGTGGCGGAGAAGGTAGAGAAGTTGAAGGAGAGCTTGGAGAAAGATGGTTATAAGATTATAGGGGATTATATTCTGGCGAGGTATAATCCGCCATGGACTTTGCCTCCGTTCAGGACTAACGAGGTTATGATCCCAATTGAGTGATTTTTCAGATTCTGTTTCTTGTTTGTTTGTAAGATGCTCTGTTTTTTAAACAAGTATAAATAAAACATGTATTTTGTACAGTAGACTATTTTTAATGCTGCTTTGGGATGTCACTCATGTTTACTAATTCGTAATCTGCGAGGACCAATTGTATAAGGAATGAAAAGTCAATTGTATAAGGAATGAAAAGTCATGAATCGGAAAGGAGAAAGTAAGAAAATAATGGATTCGTAGTATGATTCTCCTTGTGTTGGGATTCCCAATAGTTAGTACACATTCGTAATCAGAATCTATCTTCATAATTTACATACAAATAGCATTAGTGTTTTGTTAACAATGAAGGATACACATGATTACACCTTAATTTTGTTTGCATTAGTGTTTTCTTTTCCTTCTAACTCACCCTCCGTGAGGGAATTTTTGCTTCAAGACAATAAAAAAAGAAGTTTTCAAGCTCAAATAGTCACGTTTTATATCAATTCACTTATATTATAACACATGAATTTATTCATAACATAACAGTCATGTCATTCACTCATATTATAACACATGAATCAGTAACATTACGTAACTTAGCGACAATATCATCATGACATCGACAAGCTTCTTTGCAAAAACTAATGTTGTACTTTATATGACAACTTTTGCACTTGAGCCCGAAATCGACCGTAGGAATGATAAGAGTTGTTCGTACCCCAAAATGGATTCATCAAATGGAATGAAAAGAGTGATTCTCCATAATATTGACTCCTTTATACAAATTATAATTTGACACGTCCAACTCAGAAATAAAACTCCATAAATCTACGTCAAACTATAATTAGCAGAAAATTCCGATATTCCGATCCAAAAAGCTAAGGAACCAAATAAGATCCTCTGCGATGAATACAGATACCTCCGCATATAGGCAATCAAATGTCTGCAATGAGAACCCAAGTCTACTACTTTGGTTTCAGTGGACGACGTACTAACTTCAATGTTTGGGGGCCTTACGCTGAAATCCTAACACCACAAACATTTGCACTCTTTGTAGGCTACACCACCATCAATTCCGCGACAGAAACTTACATATCACCAGAGTCTATACCTCAAAAACAACTTGTATGACATAGATACACCGCCACAATGGCGTCCCATGCTAATGGTACGAGGACATGTGGAGAGAAGCTAAGACACATCCATGTGTTGTTGTCATGCTTAATGTCAAAATTTGACAAATGATATTTTATCGGGTTCTTAATAGATAACCAGATAACGACTTGACATGTTAACAGGTTCAGAACAGGTTATTCGATAACGACTCAACTCGTTGGCTGACCCAAAATCCGTTATTTTCATATCGTTCGAGGACCCAATCCACCAACTATCTGAAATGTTGGCAAACAGGGCCATAGAAGTGACCAACACGACCTTTTCCTGATCATCATGGCTTTTCCCTTTTGGTTCACGGTTCTTGTAAGAAATTGGCAGGCCTAGCTGGTATTGGACGCCCACCATAACGTGATCATCCTGTGACATGAGAGTTCTCCAACTCTACTGGTTATGTCAGTAGCCTGCTCTGAATCCCATCTTTTGTGAACGATATTCAGTTAAATAACTGTGTGTAATGTAGAACAATAAAGCCATGGATCAACAACACACCCACATACTGAATTTGTAGTTGGGACTCAAACCCAAGAACAAAACAGGATGTAACTTGGCGAAAATTCGTAACAAATTACAGACACATAATTCACACAAAGCATTTCACCCGGAGATGAGCTTCACTACAATAGTAACTAGGTTCAAAATTATGAGAGGAAATCTGAAGAATTGGCATGCATGTATAAATCCTATGATCTGCCCCTTAAGCGTAGTTCTCCTCCCTCCTTGCAATTGCAGCAAGGTCCACCCTCTCGGACCCAAAAACCGATCTTCGTTCAGTATGGCGAATGCGTTTGCGAGCAGCATGAAGCCTTGGAATACAGTCCACAATCCCATTTTCTGCACAACACAGGTTGACAACCTCAGTTGCTAAACATCACTGATTCACTAACTAATTAACATGAAAGGCATGTTTGGAGCTGGAGGTGCTTTTAAAATTGTTAAGGGTTGATTGGGACACTAGTTGGAAGTGTTAAAAAAGCGTTTTCTGAACACATTTAGCAGAAAAACTTAGAAGAGCTTATGGGGCATAATATCTCTTTCTATAGTAGCACCCGTGCTGTTCAAGATAAAAGCACTTACAGCAAAAGTGCTTATGAGGAGAAAGAAAGCAGTCCCAACTGTGCCCTGCAAGCGTTTTCAAATAATCAAACCAATTCCGACAACGCATAAAGTAAAAGCAACAGAAGTGCTTTCAAACCTTCAATTTCTTATGCGCACACAAAATTCAGTAAAAGATTTCAAAAGGGCATAATGAATATTCAAGCACAAGCCGAAACTGTGCAAATCATGAATAAATAAAGAAATTTATCGATATCGTTTCAAATGGCGATATTGAACCCAAAAAAAAAACCAAATTCAAAAAGGAAACAGATCAGAACTGAAAAAAGACATGTTCTTTCGTATCTTAACATAATCGAATCGATTCTAGGAAGAACAGAACGACAGGAAATCTTACCGGCGATTACTTGTTCCAGACAACAAGTCGTTTCACGGTCGAAAGCCTTCGCCTTGATTTCAACAACACCGAGCCGAAACAACAGGAAAGGCCGAAAGTCATCGCAAATCAAATCAAAAGCACTTGAAGCACTAATCGAAGCCAGGTCAGAATCCTTGTTAACTTTTCATCCGACGGTCGTACGTAATCCACGTATCACTTTAAGACATTCCCACTTAATTCTGACCCGACCCGGATGTTGGAGTCCAATATATAACGACGACCCGATAAAATGTACAGAGAGACTGAGCGAGGTTTTGCTGACGGACATGGATAAACCCTAACACTCAGCTCAAACCATGGCATCATTTCACCTCTCTCCCCCACTGGTAGTAAACCCCAGAAGCGTAATTTCAAAAGGGGTAGCTTAAGAATCTTTAAAGTTGAAAGCTTTCAATCCACAGATTTTGCTACTTCAGCCCCCGAAATCGCGCAATCTAAACCCACCCAGAGTTTCCATTAACGGCGAAGACAATGGCAGCATTGAACCCATCAAACCCACTCGCCGCGGCAGGAAAAAGTGTCCCACTTCATCTGCTTCAGAAGTACCCAAAAAAACCAAGCGTTCGAAGAAGTCCGAGGTCGCGCTGTCGAACCCGAACCTGTATCCGCAGTCCAAACCGAATGCCCAGAATCGGACCTCGAAGATTACGACGACGGCGTCGATTTCCCGTACGACGACCCTCCTCTGGTCTGCTGCTTCGGGGCTGCGCAGAAGGAGTTCGTCCCGACGGTCCGGGTCTCCGACAACCCAATGCACCCGGACATCTACTCGCAGTGGAAGATGCTCCAATGGGACCCGCCGGAGTTCGTGAGGGCGCCAGGCGGGTCGCCCTCCAACGTGGCCATCTCGCACGTGCGGCTCGGCGGGAGGGCGGCGTTTATGGGGAAGGTCGGGATGGACGATTTTGGGGATGAGCTGGTGCTGATGATGAACAAGGAGAGGGTTCAGACGCGCGCGGTGAAGTTCGATTCGACGGCGAAGACGGCGATGACTTACATGAAAATTAAGTTCGACGATGAGAGGATGTGGGCGGAGACGGTGAAGGAGTCCGCCGAGGACTCGTTGCTTTGCTCCGAGCTCAACCTCGCCGTGGTCAAAGAGGTATTGTATATAGTGTTTACATTGTGTTTGTTTAAGGGCCACTCTTAGCTTATAAGGCGCTTCTTCTATTAATAGAAACACGTCGGAATTTCATTAACAGTCGAAGAAACATTTCAAAATGCTTTCTGGATAAGCACCCAGGAAGTGCTTCTTGAATAAGCACTTGGGAAGTAGGGAGTGGTTCTTGGAATAGCGCCTAGGAAGTGTGTTTTGATTAAGCACCTAGGAAGTGCTTGGAAAAGAACTTTGGAAGTAGGAATTGCTTCTTGGAAAGAACTTTGGAAGTAGGAAGTGCTTCTTGGAAAAGCATTTAAGAAATGCATCCTCAAGAAGCACCTAGGAAGTGCTTCTCCAAAAGTGCTTTTGAATTTCTCTACAAAATGATGTTAGAAGTGCCTTTGATCTGAAAGGGCTAAAGCTTTAGCATGCAATTAATTGAGAGTGCATCAATTGTTCGTTTGAGCACATCATTTCATCACAGGGAAGTGATTTCTGCACTTTCGTATTGTTGTTTGGTATGAATTCTTATGTTGTTGAAAGGGGTGAGATCATTAGTATAATACGCTTTGATGCCTTAATGCAGGCTAGAGTATTCCATTTCACTTCAGAAGTTTTGACGTCTCCCTCAATGCGACCGACCTTATTCAAAGCAATGTCTTATTCCAAAAAGTTTGGAGGTCTTGTGTTTTTCGATGTGAATTTGTCGTTGCCTCTGTGGAAATCACGCGATGAAACGAGGAAGTACATTGACAGAGCCTGGAACGAAGCTGATATAATCGAGGTTTCGAGGCAGGAATTGGAATTCCTTCTTGATGAAGACTACTACGTGAGGAAGAGGAACTACAGGCCCCAGTATTATGCTGAGCAATTTGAGCAAACCAAGAAGCGGAGAGATTATTACCATTACACTCCTGAGGAAATATCTCCGTTATGGCATAAAGGACTTAAGTTCCTGTTTGTGACGGATGGAACTCTTCGAATTCATTACTATTCTCCTTCGTTTCACGGTGTTGTGATTGGAACGGAAGATGTGCTCATAACCCCATTCACTTGTGATAGAACCGGTTCTGGAGATGCAGTTGTAGCTGCTATCATGCGAAAGCTGACAACTCACCCCGAGATGTATGAAGACCAAAATGTTTTGGAAAGGGAACTTCGATTTGCAGTTGCAGCAGGAATTATATCGCAGTGGACGATTGGTGCTGTTCGAGGTTTTCCGACAGAAAGCGCTACTCAAAATCTGAAGGAGCAGGTTTATGTGCCTTCGATGTGGTAGTAGTGTACAAAATTGTTCATTGACAGAATATGTAAGAAGAAAGATTGTATCCAGCGTACACTAGTCTAGCATTTGAATTCACATTACTCTTGCAATTGTAGCAGAAACCAAATACACATGGGCTTTAGAAATGGGAATTGCTTTTGGAGCAAATATTTTCCTCATAATCCTTGTACCGTATAGCGCACCCAAGCAAAAGGAGCCCCCATCTAATCAAGGAGAAAAACTTGTGTACGGGTGTCCGGATCACGTCAATTATGGGACAGCTCTCACAAAAGCATGAAACTCTTGTATTTTAGTCACGTGTGGCTCCTTCTTGGTCTCATCCAATGTGAGAGATGCGCTACTAGAGTAACTCTATCGAGGTTTCCCTCCTAATTGAAGGACCCCAAACAATAATCACAAAGAAAGCAAGTAGTTCCACCTGCGGATCATCCCGTGCCTGACTATGAGCTTGATTTTTTGGAGAAAGGCCCTAGTTAGTTTCAATAAATCGCCTGCATGACAACAAGTGAAAAATCCGCTTGAAATGTATGAAACTTCTTTCTATTGGAGGTTGTGCAAGAAAAATTACATTCAAATTCATCGCGGAGCTCTTTTTTTTTTCAGACCAAATCAAAGAAAAAAATAATTGAATCAATGAATTACTATAGCAGCTCCTTTCTGACAACGGCAAGAGGTCTCTGGCTAATCAAACTACCCGAAATTTATCCTAAAACTGTACTCGAGCTCCACCTTCTCTGCAATCTCAAATTGCCTTCTCAGTCTGATTTCATCATAAACCAAAACTTGCATTGCGAATCACAACTTTTCGACCCTGTACAGCAAGCACACTCTCTGAGACCGCGCAGAAAAAGCACTTCTTTCAAAAGCCCACCAAGTCGGGCTGCCATTTTGAGCAGTGGTATTGTGTAGTATTTTCTACAGCATGAGCTAGCCACATGCATTCTCCGTCCGACTGCATCATCTTTGCGACGAAACAGTTGCACTTCGTCTCTCATCAAACTTCACCCTAGACATTTGCTCTTGCGTCTTGTTACAGATGCAACCGGGAAAGGGATTTGCATAAAAGTTCTCCTCCAACCTTGGTGACTCACCGATCTGTCTAGCATATGGTGCTCCAAGCCTGTCAGAATGCAGATTTTTAACCGCGGACGAAAGAAGTTCCCATGATATTGCTCCCTTATCCAACAGATCGACGAGTTGAACAAAATTTTGTCTGAAATGAAAATCATAACATGTCAGAAAACTAGTTCATGATATATCTTCCAACCAAAAGGTTGGGAATTTGAGGAGCCAAATTCTAAATGCCTGGTATGAAAGCGAACCTGTCAGGGTTGATAGTCTTCTGGAACCCTTCAAATCTCCTATGTCCCTGCACCGCCTTGGCCATATTTCCATCATACGTATAAACAAAGGCATCACTCTCCATTGCTACAATATAATCCAAGGCTGCAAGCCGATTTTGGTAAGGCTTGAAGGGCTCTAGCTCTTCTTCTGTTGCAAGAGTGTTATGAGAGAAGACATTCGGATACTCAGCGCGAAAAGCAGCCATGCTGTTGCTACCATATATCTCGCCAGCAACAATGTAGATTGTTGTTGTGGAAGGGTATCCCATGGCTTTTAGGAACAAGGCTGCCTCTCGTGGGGAAAATGGGCATCCGCCTTGGAGCCTTCGTTCTACACTATCGATCTCCTTCTCCTTCCAATGTTTGACGCTGTACCTCATAACCCGAAGCTCCTCAGATTCCTCAGCAGTGAGGTTGTGGCTGCAGCCAGTGAAAGCGAGCATGTCTTTTTCATATCTGCAATCAAGAAGAGTTTCTTTACTTAGTTCCACTACTTCCGAAACAACACAACACCCAAATAATCAACCAAAACAACAGAAGTACCTCAAATGAAGAGCAATATACGGATTACTGTTGTTCCTCAGTCTGTCAACCAAAACTCTCCCAAGATCCTCAATCTCTTTTGCGTACTGGAGAGCCTCATAATTCGCACGGCACCTAAGCTTTTGGATGGAGGATGCTAGCCCGTTGTTAGCAAGCCGAGAATCAGTGTGCGTAAACTTTATAACCTTGTGCTTTTTCAGCAAGGGGATCATCTCGCTTCTGTAATAGCTCGCCTGCACACGAATCATCTTTAGATACAATTCGAAGAACAGAACCAATTCGAAAGTCCCTACGCATCTGAAAATTTATTAACACGGATCACACCTTCGACCAGGAGACGGGAGCCTTCAGAACAGGCTTCACAGCTGCATATTTGGTTGGCAAATACTCGATAATATCAATATCATCTTTCAATACTTTCATGAAGTGTCTCCAGTCAAAAATGTCTTTAAAATCACTGCAAAATACATGACAGAGTTCAATTAAACATAATAAAACAAAATTAATCAGCCAGTTAGCCACTCCTAAATACAATCCGACAACCTCATCATTTGCAAAGAAAATCCTACCTTGGATCCGTCCAAAAAGATTGATGGTCCATCAGTGGAAGAACCAGGGTAGCATTCATTATCTTTGCAACAGCTACCATATCACATATCTGCACCATCAATTGGGTTGCCATGTCAGCTTCCAAAACGTGTCTAAAATTTACTTTTTTGACAAGGCGATATTGTAAACTGCTCTAAATTACGGGAAAGGAGATTCGAGCGCACGATTTGTACTTACCCCTGTTCTCATCTGATTCAATCCGCCATTGGCATGAACAAGCAGATAACCATTTGTTTTCGATCCTTTCCCTGATGGAAATGATAAAAATGTTAAGAAATTCAGGCATTAAATCGCCGAAATTGACAAATTTGGATGGGGAAACAAATGTAGACGTACTTATTCGGTTCTTGGGTCGAGCTATGCATTTATCAAGATTGTCGCTGTTGGGTTTCCTCCAAATCTCTGGGGTCTGGAAAAGAAAGCAGATTAATGATCATTAATTACAGATTAGTCCCAGCATTGAATTCATAAATACAACGTTTTACCTAAACAGAAAGGGACAAGAGTAAATTGGTTAACGTAAAACGTTAATAGAAACAGAAAGACTAGCCATCGTCTCATCACTTTCCTCCATTTTCTCGGAAACCAAACAAGTAGTGAAAAATTAAAAATCCAGAATGTTAATAATTGAAGAATTAAAAATTAAAAATTCTGGGGGAATTGATTGATTGACTTACCGGCAACCGCTCGAGAAGTCGCTTGAACATGGTGGAGGATTCGGTTTCCGACAACCTCTCCCTCTCCAAAACACGTTTAGGCATGGAATTGGACTCCTGGTTCTCGGCGACGGCCCGCTGCGCCCCCGACCAATCGTCCTTCACCGTATTCAGAATCAAAAGTCGGCCCTCCGTCCTCTGTGCCACCTCCCCGACCACCTCGACGTGGCTACTAAAAAACGACAACTTCACGAACGCGGAGATAACCGCCATCAAAAGCAGAGCCCCGAAAATATTGCGGACCACGTTCCGCCCCGATCTCAGCGACTGCAACATCGCGACTGTCCATAGAAATCCGTCCTCGATCGGGAGCAGCCACTTGTCGGGAACGCAGAAGAATAGCCGCCGACGGAGAACGAGGTACTTCATCACGGGGTGGTGCGAATAATGGTTGTGGTTGTGGTGGAGGGCGTGGTGGGGCCCGCATATAGTGCCGTCGAGGAGGCTGTCGTTTTCCACATCGTCGTCGTCGGCGAAGACAATGTTGCTGTCGGGAGGGAGAGTGCTCGTCGGGAGCCGCTCGCCGGCGTCCATGACGCCGTCAGCGACGCGTCGTCTGGTGGTCGTGGGTAGCGCGAGGAGAGCCGGTTGTTTTGAACTAATGTTGCTTGAGCAGTTCGTCCCACCGGAGGACATGGCCGACCGGCACTAACGTTATTAAACAAATATGCACCCGCTACAACACACGATCCGATTCAATCTTTTTAATTTCCTCGAAAAATCAAACCCGAATCAAAATCCCGGGTACCATTTAATTTTCCGGGAAAACGAAAGAAAGTGAGGGAAAAGAGAAACAGAGAGAGATATCGGGTTCGATTTGGCTCGATTCTGTTCCTCAATGGGCTTCCAGAGAAAAAGGGCGGTCCGAAATCCTCGGCAACAACAAGGGGGTGTTATGTTTTTATTATAAATCCTATGAATTTTTCGATGTGGTTTTTGTATAGTGGGATTCGCGTTCCCCACTGCTCTGTTTTTTCTTTTTTTCTCTCTCCAATGGCGGATCAGCGGGATGTTCTGAATTTTGGAGAGACCGGTTTTTATCATTGCGGAAGGTTAAAGGAAGCGCTAAAATGACGAATTTGCCCCTGGTGAATCCGCAAAAGGACTGACTACGCCTACGAGTTTGTTTTTCGGTGGCATTCTGTTTTCTGTTGGTATAATACAAAAACTGTGTTAAAGCAAAATGGTTAAAACTTTTAAAAGGGCGGGTGTCTTCGCCCAAATGTGCTTAATCAATCCACCTGTTTTCTTAATATCCACAGGAAAAAAAAAAAAATAGAGAAAAATTTTATTCACTTTTTGTTTCTTGGATTGATATGCATCATTTTTCTTATTTTGATTTATAAACATAAGAATTTTGAATTTTTGCGTAAAAAAGAAATTCAAGTTTGGAACATTCAATTCTCGACTTTATGTTCAAAAAAAAAATCTCAACTTTAAATCTATGTAATAATTGTTATTTATAAATCTCTATGAATGAGAGTTTAAAATAAAAAATACAAAAAAAACTCAATCATGAGTGGCCACCACTAACACATGTCACCACCACCTACATCGCCACCACCCACCATTCTTGTGACCATCACAACTACCGCCGTCACCACATATCATTGTCTCCTCGGCCATTGTCACCGCCACCACCATCCACCGTCATCAACACCGTTGCCACCACCACTGGTCCACTACTAGTACATTTCCTAACTATTACCTGTCATTTATATATCAATGACTCTATACGCACATTAAATTTCATATTTAAATTCATTTGTTCTCTTCGCTAAGCAAAACAAGAAAATTCACAAATTCTAAAAAGTCCAATTTTGTCATTCTTATTTTCGTCATTATAGAATTCCTTAGTAATTTTTAATTTTCTCATTCAAACTAGTGTTATGTAAAAGTGAAAATGACAACGGTTACAAAGACAACACAACACCCCAAGTAAAAAGTGGATTACCCTGACCTAAATTTTCTCCCTTTTTGTTAGGTGAGGTGGGTGCAGTTTTAGAGGATTTAAGGTTGGCAATTTTCGACACAATTAAAACCAGACATAATTTGGTTTTGAGTTAGCCGTTACTGGGTTCATATTTTAGAGATCGGATTAGAATTTACCAGTATTTGACATAATTGCTATCGTGAGTACTTGAAGGTGAAGCATCTTTTGTGCTTTGGTAATAGGTTTAAGAAAAGTTCACAGTACTGTTCACTTTAATAAAAAACCACATTTTTACATTAAAAATTCAATCCTAGTACTATTCACTTTACCCTTTGTTTTGTCATTTTCGTTAAATCTCAAAGTTTTCAAGTTTTTTTCATTAGTTTTCCTTTGGAACGATATGAATTGACATCATCACTTTCCATTTTGTTGTTGGATTGATAATATTGTGAAATAATGTCTGTTATTTGTATTTGGATGAATATTACTAATTAGCCAAATTAAAACAGAAAGCACCTCAAAACATATTACCGTAAAACTTCTATAAAGTTATAAAATTGGGACCAAACTAATTTTATAGCTTTCATCATTCACTTAGGCACCAAGTGTTTTATTTCCTGCACGGCATGCTTGAGAAGTTAGACACCTTTTGGCTTCAACAAGAAGGTCTCCATGTTGACGAAGTATTACGTACCCACAAATTCAAAGACGTGACATCAACTTTAAAAACTTATTAAAATGTAGAGTTTATTCTTATACATAACTGGTCTCAAGTTAGGATCATGATTTTTTTTCTTTTTACTTTAAAGAGTTTATTCTCTTATAGAGTATTACTTTATCGAGATTTACTATATCAAGAAATTTCTTACGCAGTGAGTTGTTTAGGGAATTGGATTAAGGAAAATTAATCACTTTTGCAATCTTGTTAAAACCAACTCCACAATACACGTACACACGCACTACTCATCATCTCTTATATAAACGGTTATAGCCTCCTTTTCGAGCGCGGAAGGAGGGAGGTAAAGTTGAGAACTTAAAAGTTGATAATAAACAGTTTTGAGTAGCCACGGATGTTGCTAACTGAAAACATATCCATGCCTAAAAAAGTTATAGAGTATCCTAATTTTTCGTAGGGTAAATCTCAGTTTACTACTCTCAGGTTGTGTGGTTTTCAACATTTAGTATATAAAGTTTTTTTCGTCATAAAGTCATACCTAAAGTGTTAATTTTGGGACAATCTCATACATCCGTTAATCTGGCTGTTAAGTCTCCTGTTAACTGATGACGTAGCTCCCATGTGGATAATAATTGGGCGCCACGTGTCATTAAGGGGTCCATGTGAAAATTAAAAATTCAAAAAAAAATTTCTCGTCCAAATTTAAAATATTAAAATAATTAATTAAATAAAAGTATTTAAAATAAAATAAAATTTACCCAAAACCTTCCCCACCCGACACCCTTCCCATTCCCTAATACCCACCCTTACCACCAAGCCTTTTCTCCTTCCCCAAAAACCCAGCCCCTTCCCTTCCCGTTCCTTGATACCCACCCCTGCGATTTGTTGTTTGACACAGAGGAGAGAAGGGAGGGAGGGAATTTGGGGGAAGGGAAGGGGTTGGGTTTTTGGGGAAGGAGAAAATGCTTGGTGGTAGGGGTGGGTATTAGGGAACGGGAAGGGTGTCGGTGGGTGAGGGGTGGAGGGGATGGAGGGGTGGAGCCGTGGAGGGGGTGGAGGGGATGAAGGGTGTTGGGTGGGGAAGATGAAGGGGGTTATGAGTTTTTTTTTTTAAATACTTTTATTTAATTAATTATTTTAATACTTTAAATTTGGGCGAGAATTTTTTTTTTGAATTTTTAATTTCCACATGGACCATTTAATGACACATGGCACCCAATCATTGTTCACATGGGCACCATATCATCAGTTAACAGAAGACTTAACAGCCAGACTAACGGATGTATGAGACTATTCAAAAATTAACACTTTAGGTATGACTCTGGGACGAAAAAAACTTATGTACTAACCGTTGAAAACCACGAAACTTGATGGTGGTAAACTAAGATTTACCCTTTTTCTTATTACGTTTGAGATCATCAAATGCTGTACCTATTTGTCTCACACTCTCCCCTACATGGACATATCCCTATCTTTGTGGGGTACCCTAATTGATCCCTTTAGTTACCATACACATGAAGTTGGGCATGAAACCTGCCCACAACTGTGATAGATCATGAACAGGATCCCAATTTGAGTGTTTACTCAATCATTCACACCACTCTCATCATGTAGCTTACATATGACCATCCCCTACGTTTGTGTATTTCCCATGTGAGGTAGTAGTGTGACCAAAATGCATGCTTTGTTGTGCCTTTTGATATAAGAAACCTCACTTTTTACTAGTTTAAATGATTATGTTGTCTAGCAAGCAAGATTTGATCAGTTGCTTCTTTAGTATAATTCTTACAACAACGTTAATGTTGTTTTTCTTGTAAGACGATTGACCTCATTCACATATGCATTACGACAATGTTTTTAGTTAGAGTGGAAAGCTAGCAATGTAGCTTAAATATGACCATCCCTTTCGTTTGCGTTTTAGCCCATGTGATGTAGTAGTGTGACCAAAATTGCATGCCTTTTTGTGCCTTTCGATCTAAGAAACCTCACTTCTTTCTAGTTTTAATAATTATGCTGTCTAGCAAGCAAGATTTGATCAGTTGCTTCTCTGGTATATCTTACGACAACGTTAACATTGTTTTTTTCAAAAGGCGACTGATCTTATTCACATATACGTTACAACAATGTTTTCAGTTATAGTGGAAAGCTAGCAAGATGCATGATAGCGTTTACACTTGAAATATTTATAATATGGGCGATTTTAATTTATTTTTCTTTTGGGCGGCATGCTATCTGCAAGTGACATTATTTTTGGTTAGTATGGATGTTTCCTTTAGTTATCTTTCAATTTAGCATCGTGCTTATCCAACACCATATTCCGCACCAAATCATTTTGCCTTCTTTATGTTTTCAAGATTTTTCAATGTGTCGGAACATGAGATGATACGTTATACGTTATTATACAAGTAGAGGAAATGTTTTTTTTTTTTTTTTCAAGTGTCTCTCCACTTGTATAATGATATATGGTTGATTTGTCCATATTCTATGCACCGTGAAAAATCTCTCCAAATGATGCTAAGTTTCTACTTGCTATATTTTCTAGATTGTAATTTGATATGTATGATAATAAATCTGCAAAAAATCTTATTTGTAACGTTGTTTCGTAATTTAAAAAAGAACAATCTTCAACCTATGTTTTTTTTTGCGAGCTACATATTTCTGTAGATAACATTAAAATAACATTTAAAATTCACAAGTACTAACCAGTACTCTACGGATTACGGAATTTTGAAAACCCTAATGTTGTTTCAATTTTCTCCCATACCACCACCAGGTTTTGAAATCATGTTAATTTACTGCTACCATTTGTTTGACTGTAAGATGATCCGCCAAATTGGAATATGGGATTTATTTCTAATCTACGTAGAAGTCACACTTATACTAATAAAATCAAACTGTGTAATTGATTGTTTGGTTTGTGATACGAGACATTGATTAAAACAAATCGAAATTAGATAACGGCTAACTTTGGTTTATATGGTGCAAGTGTGGCTTCCCCGAATTATCAAATCAAACATAATTAATCAGAAGCTTCCATTAACAAAATGGTGAATGCTATCCATGTACTCGGTGGGTTAGGTGTTCATCCATTTACCACGAAGGGTAGTTTGGACATTGCAAATTTGCAACACACAAGACTTTCAGCCGTTCACTTTCTGGAACGTTCCTCGATCCTCGTTTCCTAGCTGTCAGTTTGTCATCGAACACGGGATGGTGTAGACTCTCTGACTCCTGACATTCCCGCCTTCGTTCAACGCGACACGTGGCACTACTCATGATCCCCCAGCTCGCATACAAACGCCACACTCTTCGTCTTTTACCGTACCGTATAGGGTCGGCACGTCTAAAATCTGACCGTTGTAGCAGGAGAGTGACTGCTGCTGGATTTCTAGCCGTTGGTTTTGATAGTCTGGGATTCAATCGCAGCGGTTCATTTCTTTACCGAAATGATGAGTAAAAACTTCGGCCGATGCCGGCGCGGTTTTGTGGGGGAATGCGGCACCAATCAGAGCAGACGTGAGACTGCGAGCGGAGGGACCGACGAATGAAACTTCAACGCGGAAAGAATTATTTTGCTTTTTGCATAAACGAGTGTAAAGCTAAGCACGATCTGTATTTTTGGATGAATTTAATCATTTTTCTATTTTGCTCTCATCTAAAACTAAAATAATAAGAAAATAAATACAGAATAATTATCGTAAAATCAAACAGAATACTATAACCATCACGAGGTGATTCAGTGGTTAAAATTGAATTTCAAGTTCATATTCCATACGTGTTCGATTTTTGGCGCTGGTAAATCGCATAAAAGTTGCTAGGCGAAGGCTGAAATGTCTCAGTCTTCCCAGACCACGTAAAAGTGGAGTGCATTAGCGAAACTACCAACTAATCTCTTTTTAGGAAAAAATTTTAATTTGTGGGGGAAAATATAAAATTTCATAATTCATTTTTTATTTTTCTATGCTAAGTGGCAAAAGTTGTCGATGAAATTGTCGTATAAAATATGGGTGGAAGTCTTAGGAGTTAGGGGTGTCAATTGAAAGAGAGATTCCAAGTGGAATTTTGTTGGTGAAGAAATTTAGTGAAAGCTAACCATAAGGACTAATCATTATGACTTTTGACATGGGTTCTATACCATATGTTTTATCTTCGTGACCTCACACTTATGGTGGCCAACAAAATGCAAGTCAAAATAGATTTATTAAACCTAACCACACGATAGAAACTTGCTTATAATGATCAACAAAATGCAAGTCAAAATAGATTTATTAAACCTAACTACACGATAGAAACTTGCTTATAATGATGATTTTACTGCGTTGGTTTCTCAAGCTAGTTACACACTAATATTTTTTCACCTGTTTTATACGACATCGCGTTATTAGTTTTGAATACCGTCACAATGTCGCTGACATTCACGTTGCATGAGACTTCTTGTAACATGTAATATAGGATACCTTACGTTACTATTTTATTTATTAAACCAAACTATAGATACAATGAGGATGTCACTGTGATGGTAACTCAAGTTAATTATGCATTATGCGTTTCAACTTTTTCATATAATAGTGTGTGAATCGTTTAAAACACCGCTGCAGTGACATTCATGGAGCATAATTTTTATATGCATGTGTTTTTTTAGCTTGTATTTTTCAAAGTCAAGAAACCCAAAGTATTTATTTTGACTAACTTAAATTTGGGTTAAGGACTTAAGAAGCAAGCAAAGATATGAGCTTGAAAAGTGGTGTAATCCAATTTCCAATCATAACAGAATCGAACACCAGATGGTAGTGAGGGGGGTCCACACGCCACGCCTAACAAATACAGTTTTTGGTGGGTCCGCATTTCCAGTTTCCACTAATAAAATAATAATTCTTGTTCGTCTTGTTTGGCCAATTAGCCGACTTGAGGTGTGCGGTGGTGCGGAAGGAATAAGGATCCTCTCTCCGGATTTCATTTGTATAAATTTTGAATTCTTCAATACATTTATTTATCATATATTGTTTTGCTATAAATTTTTTAATTTAAAATTAAATATAAATAATACCTAATAAAAAATGATCACATAATTTATAATAAACAGATGTAATTAAAGAATTTTCACAAAAAAAATTTAAAAAGAACCCTAATTCGTACGGAAGTGGGAACCTCTGAATTATAAGTCGGGAGGGAAGGGCATGGATATTTGGACCATGCGAATGACCCTCTATCCACTAGCCCTAAAATCATGATTTTCAAGTGCTACATTGTCACCAAGTCTTCCATGCTCCACACTCCAAACTCATGATTTTCCGCCGCCTGTCAGGTTATGTTTGCGTTAGATGTTTAGGCAAGCTTTCAAGGGGAGAGATTTTTATTTTTTTCAAAAATAAAGATTAGTTGTTGGATTTAATTTATATCGAACTTTAATGATCTGAACCGTTTATTTTGTAAGTTCCAATTCTCATGTCATCTTTACAAAAATTCAATTAAATTCAAAATTATTTGCCTATTTAATTATCACAAAAATGTATAGTTCAAGCACTCCGAACTCCTACTTCAAGCATTCAAGCATTCAACTTTCGTTTCCAAAAGCATTCAAGCATTCAAAAAATTTTCACAAAAAAAATTTAAAGAGAACCCTAATTCGTACGGAAGTGGGAACCTCTGAATTATAAGTCGGGAGGGAAGGGCATGGATATTTGGACCATGCGAATGACCCCTCTATCCACTAGCCCTAAAATCCTAAGCATGGTCGGTGGTGGGAGAATTGGACACTTGGACACTTGGACTTTCAAGTGCTACATTGTCACCAAGTCTTCCATGCTCTGCACTCCAAACTCATGATTTTCCGCCGCCTGTCTGATAGGTTATGTTTGCGTTAGATGTTTAGGCAAGCTTTCAAGGGGAGAGTTTTTTATTTTTTTCAAAAATAAAGATTAGTTGTTGGATTCAATTTATATCGAACTTTAATGATCTAAACCGTTTATTTTGTAAGTTCCGATTCTCATGTCATCTTTGCAAAAATTCAATTAAATTCAAAACTATTTGTCTATTTAATTATCACAAAAATGTATAGTTGTTCAAGCGCTCCGAACTCCTACTTCCGCACCACACACGTTGGAATTGAAATTGGCACAAAATTTCACAAAAAGAGTTTGGCCAACTTTCGTTTCCAAAAGCATTCAAGAACTTGACAAAACCTCATCAACATTATAAACCACAATAATATTATTCATTTTATTTTCTTATATAACAAATGATATAAATCTATTTGTAAACATACTTTTACAATGGAGCGATAACTCGTCCACAACAAATCACAATGGAGCAAAACTTAGTTTCATACCCTTTACAACAATATATCGTCGTTGCAATTGTGTGAATCGAATCTAAGGCCTTTCTTTGACCAAAGGCTACCGGCCGCCACTATATACTCGTGTGCACAAAATATTATAACCGTTTCACTCTTGAAGATGACAATCTTCCACTTTACAACTTCAACCACTCCAAGCAAGGGCACAACCCCCAGCAAAACCTGGGTGGATAGTAGTCCTTTAAGTACACCTCCCTGCTAAACCCGATGATATAGAAGCTGAACAACCGACTGCGATGAGCCATGGTGACGCGTGTCACCGGCACAACAGAGATGGTATGCCTCTCACTAATCACCCTTGCAGTGAGAGGTACAGGAGCTCTGTCTGCAATGACTTCGGAGGAGAACTGGTTAAGAAAGAAAGAGTCGGCAAAGAAGGCTGAACTGCACGGGTATGCCTGAGTGTTGCACAACTGGACTCCTTTCGCTCTGTGGAAAACATCATCTGGCACAGATGCTGCTCCGCTTGCCGCGCTCACCTTTCTGGTTGAAAGTGTCTTCCTGAAACAGAATTAAGAGTTTTACTTCATAATACATTTTCATACAGGATGATTTACATAAGCAGAAGATGGAGAAAAATAAAACTTGAAAGGTGCAGTACAAATGTGAGAGTGTGGATGCTTTTTTGTCCACGCAACCAGCATTCAGACGAATGCATGTTCGAGTGCACATGTGCACGCTCCTGTCTGTAACTTGTACAATTTACATCATCTCCCAACCACAAACCATTTCAAAAGACACGTATGAGAAATTTCTCAAAATGGTAAGAGAAATGATGGTAACTTGAAAAATGAAAAGTGGTAATCTGGCTTTTATGCCATGTCATATGGAAATATTATCGCCAAACTAACATACATACCATTTAACAACAGCAACTTTGTGTGTCAAAAGAGAACCACTCCCTTGGCATGTCAAACATCTTATTAAACCACGAGATCCACAACTTGCACAGGGGATCTTTCCCTTACCATTGCAACTCCCACATCTGCATAGACACATACATATATATATAAGTGAGATACAGTAAAAATCTAAATCTGTGAATGATGCATAAGAAGGTGATATTGGATAGTCCTCATATTATAGCTTGAAACCAGATTAGAGCACGATTTTATTTATAACTAGACGGGGAAAACATAAGCATCTCACATTGAATCAGATCCATCTTTATGAGCAATTAAACCCCTTCCATAACAAGCAGAACACTGAGCCATCTGATTTTCTTTGTAGAATCCAGGTTCTTGATTTGCATTGCATTTAGGACACACAATATCTCCTCTTCCTCCACAACCTGCAATTCCTTTTGAACATTTTGTCAGACTTCAATAACAATAGATTCTATCATTAAAGGTATGGGAATGATTTTCTGTCAAGAAGAAACTCATAAATTACCACACAAGAAATATATCAAAAAATAAGAAGGTACTTACAAAATAATCTCAGAGAATTATACAAATACAAGGTGAAACAATTATTAAGTCCAAAGTTCAAACTCCGCAATTCCAAAAGTCTTGCCTGAACATTTTTCAATGGACTCAGAATGCGGAATTATTGCCCGTGATTCATGATGGGGTATGAATATAACAGGAAACTGAGACTTTAAATCCAATGCCCAGATTCCAAGTTCTGGTCCCTTATCTTTTCCATCAATACTGCCACCAAGATATGGCTGTGTTTCTCTTATGGTTTCCCTTTCTTCAATGAAAGTATCTAGTGTTCCCACATAAAGGTTGCAATCTTCTACTTTTTCGATCTTCCAGGTCCGTGCAGGATGACTTCCCCAACAGCATCTATGGCCAACATGATCAATAAGCAACTCTCGTATCTCCACTTCATCTGGTATTGCTTATACGTAAACATTCAGTTTAACAGAATATTTTTGACACAACAATGTTGAACTTGAGGAAAATACCATAACAGATTACCGCAGACTATATGCAGAGGGTAAAATGCTAAATATAGATTTTTATGCATGTATGTAGGAAAAAAAAATATGCGAAAATCTTCTAAGAGAGCAAGAGAGAAGAGGTTAGGGCAAGACTAGTTAAAGTAAACCTGTTTGACAAAATGACAAGGAGCAATCCACGTACAAAAAAGGTTATAGAATGACAATGTCTGAACCTGGCACATATTACTTGAAAAGCTCCTGTGATCCTCAACATGTTTTTGAATTTCCCTTTATACAATGACAAGAATCTAGTACCTATATCTTTAAGAAGAGTCCCCTTGAACCCAAATCATATTTTTGTATTTACTTTGATACAATGAAAATATGTAATCTAGTATCCATCACATTTTCACCTGCAATCTACTTGGCTCATGGTCTGAACTTCAATATCATAAACGGGCATTTTGTTCATTAGTTTCAAAAAGATAATTGAACCAATATGAACAATAAGTAAGCAGGAAGTGGTAAATGTGTGGCCCATTCAACCGGCCAATTTAAAAACAAGATCAGTTCAAATACATCTGATGACAGAGCAATGGCAAACAGCAGAGATTCATAACTAGAAAGTAAGCCCAACTTTGTAATCCTCCTTTTACCAACAAGACAATAAAACAAAAAGGAAAAAGTAGTCAACCCAACACTTTATGTAATGAACTCAGCAGTATAGTTCTAGAGGAAATCCGAAATCTCGAAACAATTGAGAAGCTAAAAATCATAAAATTTAAACATTGGTCTCTACCCCCAATTTCTCAGCAGCCAAACAGAAGATAAAACTCAAAAGTTTTAATTTTTTCAACTAAGCTCACCTAAATGTCACAAATGACGCAAAACCCATATCGAAAACATCACAAAACACAAATTTGCACACCAGAAGGATCAGGCTCCTGCGGACTAACCAAAGCAGCACGAAGAGAAGGCGGGTAGTGGTCGGAATAAGTAGCCGCCGACCGTATCTCCTCCACGCTGACTTCAGTCCCGGCCAACGCCGCCGTCGGAATCACCGACCCAGCTCTTCCCACGTACTGGTACGAGCTCCATTTCTCACTCCCCTTCTCTCCCAATTCACCGTTTCTCTCTTCACCAAATGACCAAAAAAACAAAACCCATTAACAAAAACGAAAACCAAACGCAACACAATCAGTCAATCATTTGATGAGTTGAAATGTACCTGATGAAAGCAGAGGCTCCTCCATTGCAGTGTGGGTGTGCGTGAGAGAGTGGAGAGGAAGAGAGAAGTGGAGATCGGTGTGCTAATTATAATATGGCATTGGCTTCGCCAGTAAGGCAGCAATTGAATCGAGTCAATGTCAAACCAAATTTTTTTAGATAGATCGGTTTGTCTTGGACTCGTAGGCGAGGAGGGAAAGGGGTGGGGCAGCTTTCAAACTCGGGTGAGGAGGGCTATATGTAAAATTACGATCTTGATTACATACTTAAGTTTCTAACAAATTTGGATGAGAGTGAGTTAGTACTGGTTTGATTATAAAAAATAAGTATAAAAAAAATGTTTAGTTTAAAAATGTGTTTGTTAAACATTTAAAAACAGTTTATTTTCACTGTTTTAGGTGAAAAAAAAAACTGAAAACTTGAAGTAGCAAAAATGAGCTTATTCTCACAACACAGCAGAATCAACTTTTTTTTTCTTCAAAGCACATCAATACCAAATCAGTACTGGTGCTTGATTTTTAGTATGCCACAAATTTGGGTTAGAATTAAGTGTTTTTTTTTTAGTACAATTGATATTCTACATTAATCTACACTAAGATGAGGGTAGAGAGAACTTGAAACATAATGGGTTGATGAGAATTTTTTTTGAACCACTAGAGCAATCCACCATTTACATATCAAGTGCTATTAAAAACAACAAAAAAGTTAACTTTTTATGTCAACCATTGTTGGAAATGCATTCAAATTATTTAGACTATACACACTTTCAATTCCATGTTTGGGATTATTTTTGTACAGCTAAAAAAAACATTTTGGCTCTGTTTGACAGGATTACTTTAAAAGCGTGTTTTATTCATAAAAATGACTTATAGAATACACTTGTTAAATGCTACTTCTGGAAACACTCCAAATATTTTCGTTGAAATCACTTGAAATTATAATAAATTTTGTGAATTATTTGTCAAAGCAGAGTGCATATGATTAGAAGTGTTTTCTCAAGCAACAAAATCCCAAAAATTAAAAGCTTGTTTGGATGTGTTTTTAAAATGACTGAAAGTTTTTGAAACAATCCTTAGTAAAAATGTTAGTAAATCCTGGAAAAGCACGTAAAGTGCTTCATGAAAGAAGCATATAATTGGTATTTCTTGTAGAAAGCACTTAAAGTGCTTTTGGAACCCAAAAATCAATTTTTTCTAAAAACACTTTCAGTTATTTTAAAAGCACATCCAAATGAGCAATAAAACAAGTCAAACTAAATTTTTCAGTGTAGAAACAAAATAGATACACCAGTAGTGGGTTTGTCTTCGGCCTATGCCCAATAGGCCCAAGTATAACAGTAGCCAAGCTTACTAATCAAACAGTCCACGCACTCACACCATACAACTCCTCCTGCCGTATATAAGCCTCTCACTCATCCTCCTCGCCTTTCTGCTAGGGTTTCCGTCTTCTCAACACAGCAGCAGCCACCAGAGACACACAGAGCTCCATTCGAAAATGGTGAAGGGACGTCAAGGAGAGCGCATCAGGTCCCCAAAAACCCCATCTTTGAAACCAATTCCTTGTTAATTTCTCCAACCATTTTATAACTTTATAATATTAAAATTTCCATCATTTTTTTCTGATTTTTTAATATTATTTTTTTCGCAGACTGTATGTCCGAGGTACCGTCCTGGGATACAAGAGGTACTAAAAATGGAGGTTTTCTGATATGGGTTTTGGAGCTAAGGGAGTGTTTGGCAATGGGTTTTGTTGACATGGGTTTTTTGGTTTTGGATTTTTTTTTTCTTCAGGTCCAAGTCGAATCAGTACCCGAGCACGTCGCTGATTCAGATCGAGAATGTGAACACCAAGGAGGATGTGGCGTGGTACGCCGGGAAGCGGCTGGCGTACATCTACAAGGCCAAGGTGAAGACGAACGGCAGCCACTACCGTTGCATTTGGGGAAAGGTCTCCAGGCCTCATGGGAACAGCGGCGTCGTTCGCGCCAAGTTTACGTCGAATCTTCCCCCGAAATCCATGGTAAAGTTTTCAATTTGTTGATGTTTTCATTTGATATTGTTGCTTAAGCTCGATTTGATTAGAGTTTAATTTATTGATTACGTTGTTTTGTCTAATTAAACAGGGAGCTAGAGTCAGGGTTTTCATGTACCCCAGCAACATTTGAGGTACTAATATTTAATATTTATGTGTTATTTTTCTGGTTGAGAAGTTTAATTGGTGTTTATAAAAATGCAATGAGAATTTTAGCAGCGTTGTGATTTCAATTATTATTGCACTTATTATCCTTACTCGAGTTGGTATTCGCGCTTAGAAGAACTTGAGGTAACAATCACCCATTAATATAGTTATGGATGGTAGGAATATAGTCCTCACTTGGTTTACTGGTCGAAAATCCTGTTCATCTGATCTTTAATAGAATGATCGCAATTTAAAAAGTATTTTGGATTATTACTTGTTATCATGATAAAACTATGCAAAAATTAATGCATTCCGGCGTGTTTGAACCTCAGCCGACTGTCAAACCACCAGGCATTGCTGTTGTTTATAGGTTTTTTTTTTTCCGCATATATGTTTTGTGTAGTGATAGTTGTTTCGTCTATTCGTCTATTTTGCAGGTACGTGGCTAATGTAGATGATGGAATGCATTGGAGGTGGAGCATTTGAAGTTTTGGTTTAACTCTATCTAGAATCGTGTTCAGACTTTCAAAATCTTCTTGTTCTCGTGAATGTAAGACATTTACTAAGATGCTTGTTACTAGTTTTGAATATGCCTCTTGTTAAACTCTATGTTTATTTGCGTTCCATGTGAATTATTTCCAAGTTATTCACATCGCTTTTAGTAGAAAACAAAAAGACTTTAGGATCTACGAAGGTTATATTGTTGAAAGTATTATGTGTGGAGCTCTCTTTGTTTAATGCGACTCCTTGGCTGTGTCTTGACTACTGTGGTTTGGAGAAATTGTGAGTTTAGATTCAGTTATTTCATTCCATTCTGATGCCGGCACTGTGATATTTGCATTCCTCCTAGTATTTTCCAAGGTTCTAAAAGATGTCAGGCGCTAGTCGAGCGGCGGGCTGAGGACTAGCGGCTAGGTGGGGTCTAAGCGGGCGCCTAAGCGGATTTAAGTAAATGCATTAAATATTGTTTTAATAGATGTTTGTTTATACTTAAAATATATATAATTTCATCATAAACTACAAAATAGAATGCTATATATATTGTGAAGCATTGGAATATAATGAAAACATGGGGATACAAGCAAATACATGTTCATTTTAGTATTCAACAAGTGTCTTACAATTTATTAAAATTTGTTAAAATTAAAAATGCAAATTGAGAGCTATCTATTTTTTGTTTAAGTGAGTAGCAACCTAGGAGGGTTTGGGTGGGGTGGGCTAGGCGGGCGCCTTAGCAGGTCTAGGCTCCATTTTCTTAATTTTCAAACGTCTAAGCATTAATCGGGGCGATGGTTAGCTGCCTAGTAGTTAGGCGGTGCTAGGCAGAGATTTTTAGAACAGTGGTATTTTCTGTTTTCAGATGTCACTTTTCACAGAGACAGAACTGTAGAGTAACATTATGATTTAGTGTAGTGCTATCCACACTTAATTTTGCCTCACACACTCGTTAATCTTTTGGCATTGGTTTTTATGAATTCATTCAATTCGATGACCGAAATTGAGGTGTATAAGAAGTAAAAATGCGTGGGTGGATATAGTACTACCCTAAAACATAATATTACTCTTCGGTTCTGTCTCGGATGGTGTGTTTAGAGAAGCCATGAGTTTTGATTCAGTTGAGTATCTCATGTCTTGGTTGATCTCACTGCCTAAAGCCTTTGTAGGGATGATGAGCACAGAGATCATCCTAACAAACAAATGTTTGATCGATGATTGTTCGAAAAGGATGTTTATGTTTGAACCAACGATGTTTTCGAGGTTAGAACAAGAAAGAGTTTAGATAGAACAACCCATGTTGTCTCGAATCAATGTTGTAAACTGAGGAGGCTCCTACAGAAGAAAACAAGTGTAATTTAGACGGGGTCTTAACTCTCAAGGTTGTGGGGAATGGTTGGTAGGCTCAGTGGCTCGGTTCATCACTTCCTCCACCAACGTTACGCATTCACATTAATCTCTCAGATTCATCGCGTCTTTGCAATCATGTCCTCTACCACAAACAAATCCAGCACAAATCTTTTCAACCTTTTCATTCACTCATTTTCAGAAAATCGACCACGACGACGTCTAACCGTAAAAAATAAGCGATTATTAACGTGATGGGATTACACAAATGACGAGCGGATTGCATCTGGAATTCAGTTCTGGCTCCGAGCTCGTGAGTTTATCGTGGCGGAACAACGTCAGGGGAATCGCGTGGTGTTTGTGAATCTTGATGCATGCATGGGTTCCCAAGCTGTCACGATTAAAAAGCTTGAGAGATTGAAAGCAAGGTACACAAACAGAACCCTTCTTCTAGAGGTTTTTCATATTCGTTTAAAGGTTAGAGTTGTCCTACTAGGAAATGAGCTTGTTTGGGACTTTTTAGAAGAGTTAAATGCACAAAAAATGCTTTTGAATACGTTTAGAATAAAGCTAAATGCTTTACGGCCATAGAAGCGTTTTTAGTAGACCAAGTTCTCTTTTAGAAAGTACTTTCATGAATTTCTTCTAAAAATTTTGACGTATCTCTAATAAAAACACTTCTAGCATAAACGCTTATGAACATAAAAATGGGCCCTAAGAAGTCCATAAATGACACTAAAGTGTGGTTTACAAACAAAAGCCTGCTCTATGATGCTCAAGTTCTATTTTCGAATAAAAGTTTGTAGCTGGTTCTATTGGTGTGTACGTTGCCTCTCTTTTACTTATTTATTTATTTCATTTTGTTCCATTCAAGGTTTGGAGACCTTTACACAGAAGAATGTGGCAATTAGCGGGATTGCCACTCAGTGCCTGGGGGCTACCTTCAGTATGTTGTGTATATTGTGACATCTCTTGGGTCTGTAAGACAATCATTTTATGTTCTTGTTGATGGCTTTGAGAAAACCATAATTCAAGCTGAAGAAAATCTTCTTCCCGGCTCGTTTTTGGTGAACAAAGGTAAGGAATTTCACTCATTTTATGTACTGTTGCTTACCATTTTGTGATTTGTAGGCAACAAATCAATAAACCCGAGAGTAATCCCACTTTTACTCTTGATCTTCCCACAAGCAGAATTTCGAATACTGATTAACTTCCCTAGTTGATGCTATTTTAAATCTTTTGTCATGGTAGATGCTGGTGTTAACTGCAGTCCAAGCGGTTATCTCAACAATCGTGCTGAAGAGTCTCAAGGAACTTTCATGAGTCGTACAAACTCAATAACAAAGGAGCTGCAGCACGATTCATGGACGACTGGTTTGAACAGAAAGGTGTTAAAAGTTTTGATGACCTATTTGCCAATTGATCAGATACTGGCAGAATCCCCAGAAGAGTCTCAAGCCTAGTTCTTAACGATGATGCGAATGGTAAGTGAGCTATTTTTGTGTCCATGATTTAGTGTAGACTGTTCAGCTTTCTAATAACAAATAGTATGCATATAAGGCAGCGAGTTGATGACAATCACTGCCCCCTTTCAATCTTCTCAAGGACCAGCTGTGACATGGCTTTCGAATTCTGCAAGACTGGCAAGGAATGCCTTGAGGAAGGCGGAAAGGCCTGAATTTTTGTCTGCATTCTGTGAATCGAATTGTGGCGATGTAAGCCTGAATGTTCTTGGTGTAAGCCCGAATTGATGCATTCTGCACAGACACGGAACTACCGTGTGATTTCAATTATAGTACCTGCAACAGAAAAAATCAATTGTGCTTTGGCCGGGGACCAGGGTACATGTTTCTACAATCTCCATAGGTAAAAATGCACCCATCATATGGAGAGGTAAAAATGAATTGTGCTATGGCCGGGGCCAGGGACCATGCTGATATATCCTACCTACGCGGTTTTGAACTATTTTTTTTATTTGGCAGTTCCGATGAATTTGAGAGTACTTGCATAATTGGCGAAGGGCAATTCATAAAAGCTAGAGACAACTGAGAAGCTCAAAGGGAAGGTTCATCCCGACATGCATGCATAGATTTTTCCAGCCTTGAGGTCTCAGTTCAGAAAGTTTGAGGGCCTGAGGTAGTTGTAAAAACATGCCCCACTGCCCTGGGTATTGTCTTTGCTGCAGGAACCACTAATGGAGCTGGAGCTTTCAGTTTCAAGCAGGGTGAGGACCTGGTAAGAATTTTCTGGAGCAAGTTTATGCCTTCTTTACGTAAATCTTGATGAGTTAAACAACTCAACTTTGCAATGATTGTTTTCTTTTGTGCTTTTGTAGGGTAATGCATTCTGGAGATTGGTAAGGAACGTGCTGAAAGCACCGGATCAGGAGCAGGTCAATCACCAGCGTCCGAAGCCTATTCTGCTCGATACTGGGGAGATGAAGGAACCATATGATTGGGCAGTAAGTATGTAACCTTTCTACTGGATACATGCCAGATTTGTGACGCTGTTAGCGGCGAATAAATTATGGTAGAAGGCATTACAATTTGAATAATTTCTAGGGAGTAATATCTGAAGTTCAATTTTCTGTATCTAACTACCACTTCTGCAGCCCTCAATACTACCTATTAAAAATTTTACGAATTGGACAGCTCGTCATTCCCTGTGTACCTTGAGCTAAAACCTTACCTATTGTATCGTGTTTACACCCATCGCGTCAATATTCTCCATGATGCCGTCAAAGGGATCCTTACCTCTGGAGGTAGGATAGAGTTTGACATCAATGCCCATATAGTCATTGCAGAGCTAACAAATCTTCACAATATGTTACCACCTTCGAAGAGTACGAAGTGCAGACTTACTGTTGCCGTGAGTAGTAATTAAAGGGTTTGTAAATATGTTGTAAATATTAGGAATCCTTTATTAGGAAGGATATATGTGTGTGTCCTTTATTGTTTATTGTTTCCTTATAGAATAAGGATTGTATCTTGTATATATATTTCAGTTGGGCAATACAATGAAAATTAAGCCGTAAAATTCAATTTGGCATCAGAGCCAACCATAACCCTAAGGCTCCACCGTACCGCTGCTAATGTGAAACCAAGAAAAAAAATACAAACATATTCGGCAAGTCTGTGGTCTTTGCCGCATCCTACAGCAAGCCAAGATTGCTGCCCGTGTGTGCTGTATCATTACTGTCAAAGGGGAACAAAACTCATATCAGGTCTTCAGTTGGTGTCGCTGCATCCCTGCAGCAAACTTGATTGCGGGCTGTGTACGTGTGTGTAATGTGCTGTGCCGAGAAGGGTAATTGCTGGTATCATCGTGCCGTGCTCTACTGCTTATTGCAGCGCTGTTAATTGTGCTATTTAGCACTATATTCGTGCTATGTTGATCAAAAGAGAAATAAAAGGGACAAAAGGATTTGCTGCTAGTGTTGATAATAAAAAAAAAAGGGAAAAAAAAAAAAAGAGGATTGGCTGCTGCTTGAATTGCAACGTGCAGTCCAAATTTTTTTTTTGTCTTTGAAGTGCTACTGCTTGTTTTTTCCTTGTAGCGTGTGGTTCTGTAATTGGTGTGGTGTTGTGATTGCTGTGTATTAGTGTCTTGTGAGTTATTACAATGGTGAATATAGGTTGGATTTTGGATTCCGGTGCAACAGATCATATGACGTATGATAAAACCGTATTTCAATCTATGACACGTCTTCATAGAAAGTATGTGGCAACTGCCAATGGTTCTACTGCTGTTGTTGTTGGAGCGGGAATAGTGTCTCTTACACCCTCTCTTCCCTTACATAATTGTTTATTGGTTCCATCATTGTCCCATCACTTATTGTTTGTACCTTAAGTCACTGAACAATTGGATTGTGTTGTATTAATGTATCCTTCATTTTGCTTGCTTCAAGATATTCAGAAAAAAAAAGATCATTGGGCGTGGCACTAAGAGAGAGGGTCTATATTATGTGGATGACGTGGTTCCTAGAAGAGCTAATTTGGTTCATGCGTCACATAATAGTAATCTACAGAAGGTATTGTTATTGCATCGTCATTTGGGGCATGCATCGTTTGGTTATTTGAAACATATATTACCTGATTTGTTCAATGGTATTGAAGACTCATAATTGAAATGTGAAGTATATATTTTAGCCAAAAGTCGTCGTGCTTCATTCCCTCCAAGTATGAATAGAACATCTTCTCCATTTGCGCTAGTACACTCTGATGTGTGGGGGCCTTCTCCTATTAGTACTACTTAGGCTTAGGAATTAAATGGTTTATTACGTTTGTTGATGATTGCACTCGTATGACATGGGTTTATCTGTTGAAACATAAAAGTGATGTTAGTATGATTATTCGGTCTTTCTCTCAGATGGTGGCTACACAATACTCCTCTGTTATTAAGGTTCTTCGTACTGATAATGAAGGAGAATATGTTAACTTTGAGCTATCTACTTTTTTCCGTGATCAAGTTATTCTTCATGAGACAACGTGGTCGTATACCCCACAACAAAATGGGGTAGTTGGGAGAAAAAACCGTCATATTTTGGAAACTGCTCGTGCATTGCTTATTGGTAGGTTAGTGCCCAAGAGTTTTTGGCCAGACACCATCACCTATGCTGTGTATGTTATAAATCGTATGCCATCCCGAGTTGAAGAATTTCGTACTCCACTCCAAGTGTTGACGAAACATGTTCCGGTTGTTTCTACCAATACTCTCACTCCTTGAGTGTTTGGATGCGTTGCTTATGTTCATTTTCACAAGATTCATCGTAGTAAATTGGATCTTTGTGCTCTTCAGTGTGTCCTTATGGGTTTTGCATCCCACCAGAAAGGTTACAAGTGTTACCACCCTGCAACTCGCCACATGTATATAACCATGGATGTGACTTTCTCTGAGTCAGAATATTTTTATGCTCCCGTATCACCACTCTTCGATCATAAGGGGGAGAATTCAAGTTGTGATCTTGATGGTGTTTTTGAATGGTTGGATGTACAAGAGGTAACGGTTTCAGGGGGAGTACACGGTGCCGTGCCGAGTGATGCAGTTGATGCTCAGTCTCCTCCCACCGAGCCTGTTGTGAGTGGTCAGCAGTTTTTCACCGAACCTACTACAAGTGGTCAGCAGTTTCTCACCGAAGAAGATGCTGCCAGTTCGTGTGTTGGTGTTGCCGAAGAGGAGTGCACTGATGGTCAGCCAGCTGTTGCTGAAGCTTCTTCTCTTCTCTCTAGCTCAATAGTGCCGCTGTCCAATACATCATTTTTGGATATCCCTGAGGTAAGCACTAGTGATACTCATGTAACTAATAATGTTATAAGTACATATAAATTGCCACCAATGCAAAATCGTGGTGTACCTCCTGACAGGTTCTCTCCGAAGGGAAAAGTGAAGTATCCTATAGCCAATTATGTGTCCTATAAAAACCTTTCATCCGAACGTCAAGCTTGGGTGAATAATGTGGATTAAGTTCAAGTACCAACTCGAGTAGAAGAAGCTTTGAAGAGTCGAGAATGGACCAAAGCAATGGATGAAGAGATGAGGGCATTGCAGAAAAATAATACATGGGAAGTAGTTAAGTTGCTGAAAGGAAAAAAGCCAGTTGGGTGCCGATTGGTTTTTACAGTTAAATACAAGGCTGAAGGATCACTCAACAAGTATAAAGCAAGGTTGGTGGCGAAAGGGTATACTCAAACATACGGAGTTGATTATTAGGAAACTTTCTCTCTCATGGCTAAGATGAATACGGTAGAGTCCTTATCTCATTAGCGGCAAATTTGAATTGGCCACTGAAACAGTTTGATGTAAAAAATGTGTTTCTTCATGGACATCTAGAGGAACAAGTGTATATGGATTTCCCTCCAGGGTATAATAATGGAGAAAAATCGAGAGTGTGCCGATTGCGAAAGTCACTTTATGAGCTTAAGCAATCACCTCGTGCATGGTTTGGGAGGTTCACCCAGGCCATGAGAAAGAATGGATATTATCAAAGTCATTCTGTTCATACTTTATTTGTGAAGCGAAGAAATGGTAAAGTAACAGCCTTGATTATTTATGTAGATGATATGATAATAACAGGTGATGATTCAGATGAGATTGTCAAACTGAAGAAGAATCTTTATGCCGAGTTTGAGATGAAGAGTTTAGGTGACTTAAAGTTTTTTCTTGGAGTTGAAATTACTCGTTCATCCAAAGGTATTTTCTTGTCTCAACGAAAATTTGTTCTGGATTTATTGAAGGAAACATGTATGCTTGGGTGTAAACCCATGGATACTCCCATTGTGGAGAAACATTACTTGGGAATTTATCCGAATCAAGAACCAGTAGATAAAGGCATCTCAGAGGCTGGTAGAAAGACTAATTTATTTAGCCTATACCCATCCAGATATAGCCTATGCGGTGAGTGTAGTGAGTCAGTTTATGCACTCACCGAGTGTGGATCATATGGCAGCTATTATACGGATTTTAGCTTATCTGAAGTCAGCTCCGAGAAAAGGAATTTGATATAAAAATTTCGGTCATCTGAGGATTGAAGGATTTACTGATACTGATTGGGTAGGTGATGTGACTGATAGGTGCTCTACTTTTGGATACTTTACGTTTGTTGGTGGAAATCTAGTTACTTAGAGGAGCAAGAAGCAAAATGTGGTGTCAAGGTCTTCAGCTGAGGCCGAATTCAGAGGTATGGCACATGGAGTATGTGAAGTTCTTTGGTTATGTAAGTTACTTAGGGGTCTAGGTTTCAAAGCAAAAGAGGCCATAAGCTTGTATTGTGATAATAAATCCGCACGGGAGATTGCAGAGAACTCGGTACAACATGACAAAACAAAGCATGTGGAGGTTGATCGTCATTTTATTAAGGAAAAGCTTGAGAAGAAGATTGTGTCAATACCGTTTGTGAACTCGGAAGAGCAGCTTGCGGATATCCTCACTCATGCCGTGTGTAGTAGATCTTTTGGTGATTCAGTTGTCAAGTTGGGCATGTGTGATATCTATGCTCCAACTTGAGGGGGAGTGTTGCCGTGAGTAGTAATTAAAGGGTATGTAACTATGTTGTAAATATTAGGAATCCTTTATTAGGAAGAATATATGTGTGTGTCCTTTATTGTTTATTGTTTCCTTATAGAACAAGAATTGTATCTTGTATATATATTTCAGTTATGCAATACAATGAAAATTAATCCGTAAAATTCAATTCTTACAAGGTTCGATCAAAACTGAAGTACCTTTAAATTCCACCTTCAATAGGGGCAACACGGTTCCAGTCACCTTTTGGTCTGCTTGCCCAAGGAATGACCTCCTGATAGAAGTCACATTTGCATTGGCTGAGATTCTGCCGAAGAACATAAAGACATGGGTTCCGACCTATGATGACGATGATTTTTGCTTGAAGTTTAAGTCATCACGGCCTAAAAAACTTAGCCCTCGGAGCTATGCAACTATTAAATGGACGACCCAAAAAGTGCATCTTTCGATGTCTATAGGATTAGCCATTTTGGTGCCTCAAAGAGTTTATTTGGTCCATTTGCCATTTCACATGTTCTTCTAGTGCTTTTGTATTAAGGAAAACTAATAAAAATGGCTTGAAAACTTTGAGTTTTAATGATAAGGACAAAATAAAGGATAAAGTGAATAGTACTAGGATTGACTTTTTAGTGTAAAAATGTGGTTTTTCGTTAAAGTGAACAGTACCGTGGGCTTTTCGTTAAAACTTCCTTTGTATTACCACAGGCTGGTGGACATGCTGCCGGAAGGCACACTTTCACCACTTTAGATTATGTATAAGGGGAGCGCCAATGCCATTGACGTTCCCACAAGGCTTCCTTGTATTGTTATACTCTACACAGAGTTTAGCAGTACATTGTGGCAGCGGGAATACTACTCCGCGATATCTAATGTCTTAGTCAACGGAGAAATTACAATTTTACAGTTTCAAATTTCCCTTCTTTGTTATATGCATTTTAGCCAAATACAGAACAAAGTTTGGAGCAAATTGGTGAAGATAAACTAACTAACGACGCTTTGCCTAACAGTAACCACCAAACGACACAATTCCGAATCGAAAACCAAATCAAAAGTAGCCGGCTCAACGTTTTCTTTACGGAATATCCGAGGCGGCCAGTCGACATCTTTAATCACAATCGCGAGTTAATTACAATGTGATTAACACCGACCGTCCGATTGAAAGAAACAGAAAAAACACCAACAGCAAACGGTCCCACCAACTGTGGGCCCCGACAAACCATGAAACCGGCATGACCCGTTTACCGTTACGACAACGTACGAGTCCCAAAGCACTCGCATTACATCCCTTCGCGTTCTTCAATTGTGTTCAATTCGATCCGATTCGATTACGAAAAACGTAGCACGCAAAAACCGATGTCGGCGGCGATCCAATGGACGACGGTCGGGATGGTCGCCGCCTGGTACGGCTCCAACATCGGTGTCCTGCTTCTGAACAAGTACCTGCTCACGAACTACGGCTTCCGGTTTCCGATTTTTCTGACGCTCTCCCACATGACGGCTTGTTCGGTGCTCAGCTACGTCGCCATAGCTGTGATGAAGGTGACCCCACTGCAGAGCGTGAAGTCAAAGGTTCAGTTCGCCAAGATCTCCGGGCTCAGTGTCGTTTTCTGCTTCTCCGTCGTTTGCGGTAACGTGTCGCTCAAGTACCTTCCCGTGTCGTTTAATCAGGCCGTCGGCGCCACCACCCCCTTTTTCACTGCCGTTTTCTCGTTTTTGATCATCAAGAAAAGGGAGGCGTCGCTCACTTATGCCGCACTCATTCCTGTTGTTGCAGGTGTCATCGTTGCTAGTGGGGTAATCTAATTTTTTTCCTCCTTTTTTCATCTATGTTCTTTTCTGATAATTTGATGAAAAATGTCGTTTTGTTAGACTTTCTAACAAATATGTTAGGTTGTTCATCTGTTAATATGACAAGCGGATACAAATCTTATAATTCAACAATATAACATGTTAGACTATTTGACAGTGTGACAACGTAATATTATGTTACCTATAAAATATCATATCATTACATATGATGAAAAATTAAGAATGCGCCCCTTTTTTTCTTCTTTTGTGTAGTTAGGAGACTATTTTTGTTCTATTCTTAGGGCAATGTTTGGAACTGATTTTAGAATAATATTAAAAGTGATTTTAGATCACCGAGAAAACTAGTGTTCCCATTTAACTAGAGAAAAGTTAAAAATGCTTATGAATTGGAAAAACATATGCGAGAGTATTTCTAAAATAAGCACATGCTTTCAGGAATGTTTTAATTTTCGTTACATTTTTTTACGCGTTTCTAATGTAGTAGAAGCGTTTATGAGCCTAAGTGGTTTCTATAGGAAATATTATAATTCCTACCAGGCTACCACAATTAAATTTTGTTTGAAGAGTTATCATCTGTTTCACACAAACTGTTATTGGTTGCAGGGAGAACCAAGCTTCCATCTTTTCGGGTTTGTTATGTGTATTACAGCTACAGCTGCAAGGGCATTCAAATCGGTGCTTCAAGAAATTTTGCTTTCCTCTGACGGGTAACTATTTCTTCCATTCATTTTTTTCTCTGTCAAATTTGTATGGTATATAAGAAGACTTGAAGATTCAAACTATTTGTTTTTTCCAGTGAAAAACTGAACTCTATGAACCTGCTGTTGTACATGGCGCCAATAGCGGTGGTGTTCTTGCTTCCTGCAACCCTGTTGATGGAGGAGAATGTGGTCGGAATCACAATCGAACTTGCTCGAAAAGATATCAAACTTATTTGGTACCTCTTCTTCAATTCTTCATTGGCGTATTTCGTCAACTTGACCAATTTCTTGGTCACCAAGCATACAAGTGCTTTGACCCTTCAGGTAATAATTTCTTAGTACCTCTCCTTCTGCACAAGACGAGAAAAACTTACACGCAAATAGAATTGTCAAAGTGACGGTGTTCCATTATCACATGATGTTGTGTGCCTTAACTTGCTCACTTGGTAACACATTATTGATTTAGGATACTGACATTTTAATATCTCAGTTGCATGTAAGATATTCTCCTCATTTTGACACCTAGGGTTTTAAGTTTATAACTTTATAATTGGTCGTTTTTAAAAACAGGTGCTAGGGAATGCAAAAGGGGCAGTTGCTGTGGTGGTTTCAATTTTGATATTTAAAAATCCAGTGTCATTCATAGGGATGGTGGGTTATGCACTCACTGTCCTTGGAGTTATTTTGTACAGTGAAGCCAAGAAGAGGTATACTTCAATCCATCTCTAGGGCAAATGTTTGGGCCAATGCCCCCATTTTTGCCCATTTTTATTTTATTTTTGTCTACCCCCAATGCGTGTGGGGTGATTCGAATTTAGAAACATATAATTTCTTTCAACGTTTAAAACAGAAGTACCGTTGTAATTACAATGGACATTTTCCAAGAAAAACAAAATAGCTCGGTTGTAGTTCATCAGCAGCAATATACAGGTGGTGTGAAAAACCATTGATTTTCACTGATTTTGGGACAGAGTTTGCATTTTTTTTTTTTTTCTAGGAGTCGAGTTGGGTATAGCAAAGTGCAATTTTCTGAGGGAAGCAAAAGATGTATGTGTGAATAATTCTTTTCTAATTACAATGGTAAGAATAATGAATCTTCACCGTTGGAATTCCTCAAATAAGCCTTGTGTTGGATTATCTAGTGCGATTTGCACCCTCACAAATTTTATTTGTGTACCACTACATTATGCATTCCACATGCAGAGTGCAACAATACACAAAGGTAGTGTGAAGTGCGCTCTTAGATATTTATAATTCTGTACTATTCAATGGAGACATTACCATTTTACAGTTTCTGACTACAACCAACCCCAAGCCAACAAGGCTCCTCGTAGGGATCGGTGGGGAGCATCTACTGTAGCAGCCTTACCCTTAGTTTGGTATGCAGTAAAGGGATGAATCTAGTAATTATGTCGATAGCTTGTTGTGTTTTTGTATACTTCATTCTCTCACTTTTGGCTGGAAAAAACAATTTCAAATTACTGGCATTGTAGCCAAATACAGCAAATTGGTGCACGCTCACTAATCAAGTACCATCCATTTGCCCTAACACTAAACACCAAATGAAAAACAAGTCCTAATCGGAAAACCAAACCAAAGTTTCCAGCTTAACGTTGTCTTTAAGAAATATCCGAGGCCAGTAATCCACGTCTGAAATTCTTAATAATAATTAGAAGTTAATTACAATGTGATTAGGTTTAACATCCTCTCTGCTTGCTTAAAGAGTGCAAGTTCCTCCCCACAAAGTACAAGCCAAAATGTTGTAAAAAACGGTGCGTATTCAGTCTCCCACCATATTTCAACAGTTCAAGCTAACACTCACCTGAAAAAACATAAAAAGCATCAATCTACATGATTAACACGTCGCAACATCAACCGTCCGATGACAGAAAAACAACCATCAACCATCCCATGGACGGGGATGGTCGCTGCATGGTACGGCTCCAACATCGGCGTCCTTCTTCTCAACAAGTACTTGCTTACGAATTACGGCTTTTAGTTTCCAATTTTCCTCACCCTCTGCCACATGGCGGCGTGCACTGTGCTCAGCTACGCCGTCATAGTTCTGATGGAGGTGGTCCCACTGCAGAGGGTGACGTCCAAGGTTCAGCTCGCCAAGATCTCCGGGCTCAGTGTCGTTTTCTGCTTCTGCGTCGTTTGCGGGAATGTGTCGTTGAAGTACCTCCCTTTGTCGTTTAATGAACCCATCGGCGCCACCAACACCTTCTTTACCGCCGTTTTCGCATTTTCGATCATCAAGAAGAGGGAGGCTTTGCTTACTTACACCGCCCTCATTCCTGTTGTTGCAGGTGTCATCATTGCTAGTGGGGTAATCCAAATTTATATGAGAATTATTGGTTAAATAAATTACAAGTCCTTTTTGCTAATTTTGGAAAATGAACACGACAAACATGACCGACACAAATATTGATACGAGAGTTTCAAATGCCCATGCATATATACGGCTTAAGATTAATAAAATCGACAACCTTCAATTCAACGCCTTCGATCATTTTGTTATACATGTTATGCTTTGTATCCATCGTGTTGATTTTCTTATTTCAGCAAGAGAGATTAATTGATTTTCTTATTATGCTTTGTATCTATCAACACTAACACGACTTTACACTCAAAAGTGAATCACATGATGGTAACATACTAGTATTTGATGGTACAGTGGATGAAATTCCATCTAATCTGGCGGTGAGAGGTTAATTGACTAATTTCAAATAGTTTAAGGGGTTAATTTATCAAAAAAATAATTCATGAGGTCAATTTCAACTAGGATAATAGTTCAGGGAAGTCGAACGACATTTTACTCCTGAAGAAAAAAAAATACCAAAACCCTGACGAATTTTCAATGTAATAAGAACATAAAAATTTAATTCAAATTCAATACTTTAAATAAACAAAAAATTGGAATGGAAATATGCGAGAGATGGTTGTGGCTTTGCTTGCTCTGTACGTTTATATATGTAAAACCCTAATTCTATAAGCCGTCTCCTGTTGGGCTTGGGCCCACAAAGAACTCATATAAAGAATTTTCTCTGATGCGTTTAACCGATTTACAATTGATTGGGAAAAACTCGACTCGATGACCCTGCTGTTGTACCTGGCACCGATAGCAGCGATACTGTTACTTCCTGCAACCCTGTTGATGGAGAAAAACGTGATCGAAACCACAACGCAACTTGCTCGGAAAGATATCCGACTCATTTGGTACCTCATCTTCGATTCTTCTCTCGCATATTTTGTGAACTTGACCAATTTCTTGGTCACCAAGCATACAAGCGCTTTGACCCTTTAGGTGAAAAAAAAAGGGGAAACTTGATATAAGTCCAATTTTTTGAGCTAATAGTAGGAATAGTCTAGTTTATTAAAATAAGTCCAATTTGTTATATTTAATTATTTAATTATCAATAATTATCTGTTCAATTCAATGATAAGATTTATTATAAAAATCAAATTTCTTCCCAATTATCTCTTTGCTTATTTCTTTTTATTTATCTTTTTGTTATTTCTCGTTCTTCCTCCTACTTTAAACCCCATTTATAGATTTTATTTTTAATTTTTGTAATTGACCTATATTACAGGTTAATTATATTTATCTACCTATATGACAGATTCTTTTTTTATAATCAACCTGTCACAGATTAATGTGTCTTACTTGTAGGTATGTTATGTTTTTTCTACCCTTTAATTAGGTTTCATATCTCACGTGTAGGTATATTATATACATTCATATATTTGTTACTTGAGTTAGGGTAGAATGTTTTGTAGATAAATTTATTTTAGTTTTGTTACAAGATATTAAATATATTCTTTTGGAGTTGGAAAATGCATAATATTAGAAGATTTTAATTGATTTTTAATATTTTTAGAAAATATAAAATGAGTATAAAAGAAATAAAAACATATAATTAGATAACTGGACTCACTCCTAAAAACACTCTACGTTTTTGGACCTGGATCTAAAAGCCCCAGAAAAAAACACATATTTCAGTTATCTAATTCTCGGAAAATTCTTCTGTACGGACTGTGGTATAGGTAGGTCAGATGGAGCACTGAGGGGGAGTAAAAGGTGCAGTCGCACACAAGGCTCCGAATTTGAAGGGGCTCCCAAAATTTTTGTCATCTAATCTAATATTTATATGTAATAATGTTCTATATTTAAAAATTGTTTTTGTTAACACTTTAAAATTTCATTGTATACTCCTTATAAGCGTATTGTTTTCCTTTCTAACACCTTAAAAATGGTATTCTTTTTTCAATTTTATTATATAATAATGTTATATATTCAAGTGAAACTTTGAAGTTAGAAATTTAGAAGTTTTTTTTTTCCTTGTTTGATTGTTTAAGATTGAACTGCTTTTGATTATTTAGTGAATGTTATATTTGTAGCTCTTTTTACTTATTATTAATGAAAATTTTAAGTGATTATTTTCTAGCATCAATTCATTGTCCTACCTTTTTTTAAAATTATCTTAAGAAGGGGCCCTTTCATAAATTTCGTACAGGGCCTCCAAAATCTCAGAGACGGCCCTGAGGAAGGTCACACCCCTTGTGTGTGTGTTACTGTATACGACAGTCCATACAGAAGAATTTCTCCTACTTATGACAATTTAGGGTTTTAATTTTCAAAGTTTAACTATATAATTGGTATTTATATTTATTTAAAAAAAAAAAACAGGTGCTGGGGAATGCAAAAGGGCAGTTGCTGTGGTGGTTTCAATTTTGGTGTTTAAAAATCCAGTGTCGTCCATGGGGATGGTCGGCTATGCACTCACCGTTCTTGGAGTTACTTTGTACTGTAAAGCCAAGAAGAGGTATAGTTGGCTTGATGTCGATTAATATTATACAGCGATTAAGTGATCATACAATCAATGGAAACAAAAGATGTATGCCTAAATATGGTTTTGCTCCCGATTACAATGGTAAGAACAATGAAATCTTCGTCGGAATTAGGCAAATAACCCTTCTAATAACCAATGTTCTAAAAATCGGCCTAAGTAGTGAAGGCCCGTTCCGATTTTGGGCAAATCGTTTAGAAAAATTGGTCTGGAGCTAGGCGGCACTTATGCGGTTTTTGTTATATATATTTTTATTAATTGTGTACTTTTTTCTTTTTTGGTTTCATGGTGGTATACTTAGGCACCGTTTGGTACACAGATGGGACATGATGGGATGAGACGAGGCATTACGGAATTGAGGTTCCGTGTTATGTTTGGTACACGCAGGATGGAACAGGACGGTTGTTCCGTTTTGTGTTTGGTAAGCGCAAGATGGAATGGAACCAAAAGATTAAATGACTAACGTACCCTTGTTCCGTCTATTGTTTGGTACAATATTTATGCTTGGGACGGGTAGGGGCCTTGGAGTTTGGTGGCATTGGCAATTTCCTTTGCAGGAGAATCACTAGCCTGTAGCTTGAAGACCCTCGAGAGAACGATTCTTCCTACGATGATCAACATAAATTCCAATGGTTGGTGCAAGTTTCTTTGGAATCCCAGCAGATTGGTAAGCAAACAAGGTAAACAACTTGTTAAAATCATCACATAAAAGCTCATGTGTTAAACCAGACGCAAAATAAAACACAAAAACTGATCTAAGAATTCCAAATTTAGGATCATGTTTATATTTTTATGGAATCTAGCGATCTGCAAATGTTTCGAAACTGAAAAACAATCTGTATTTTATTTATTCTTATAACACTTCATCCTATAATCAACTTCAATAAACTCGTACAATAAAAGCTGGATCAAATCCAACACAAACGTACCACTTATCAAATACAATTCCCAAGCACAAGTTAAACTAGTGAAACCAAGAAAACTAACTTATTTTCTCTATTCCCATTTGAACATAACTACTTACACATTTAAAGTTCATCGAATCAAAATTTAATAAAAATCCTTGAAACCAAGTCCCCAAATCTCCCAAACCAAATAAAGCATAAACAC